AACGATGGGAAAAGATTCCAGGATGCTGTGACATTAGCTGGTTCCAAAAATACTATACTGTGAATACTAGATAAAAAGAAACTTGTAGTTGTGGATCTCAGATAATTTTAAATAACCAGAAACCATTTTTAGGTCATGTCTTCTTATTCTATTTCAAAAATGTTCTTATTTTACACTTTTATTTAAGCGGAAGTAAAAGCTGTACTTTGTGCCTCTGATACGTGCTGTAACTCTTGTTAAGATGTTTGAATCAATGATTTGTGTTTTCTAAGAGCTGGACAGTTGGAAAATAACACAACAGAAGTCTTGGATCAATGTCCACTGCTGTCTGTGTAAAGGTTTATGCCAATTTCGACTGGCCTTGTGTCAAATCTCTTAAAACTTTGCATGAATGTTTGGAGCAATTTTAATGGGTGTAACTACATTTAACTCTTCCTTTTTGAGAGATTTTTCATCTTGATTACATGCATACCCACCTAGTGGAATAGGATTCATTAACTTCTTTGGCCGCAGTCTTAACAGCCACCAGTTATGACAAAATGTTTTTTAACACTTAATTTTATTATATGCTCATAACATTGAATAAAGCATTCTGGAAATGACTTATATTGCTTAGATAGTTTATGCATTTTTTTTTAACACTTGGTTTAGTTGAGATACTCCTGGTCATACGAACCATAATTCAATTTTGCCTCAGTCAGTATTGAGTAGTTTTGATAAGCAGAGACATTGCAGTTCATTTATTCACATTTTAATTTTCTGTTTCATTTCTTTATGCTCCTTACTTCATTACTTGGATTTTTTATCTCAATTACGAAACTCTTGTAACTTCATCATGCATGTAGCCAAGCTGTTGCATTTAATGTTATTAGCATTTAATGAAAGGGTCTTACATGCAAATAGAGAAATGATAGCCACGAGACTCTTCTGGTTGAGAGCAAGGGTTTCCTTACTATCTCCGAATGTAGGGTTTTTTGTTGTTTTTAAGGCAAGAAGTAGAAGTCCCAAAAATACTTCTCTGCATGGTGTATCCCTCACTGTCAATATTGCATTTCTTATGGAGGGTCTGGTTCTTAGAGATCCTGAAACATACAAATGAATTAGATTTACTGGCTGGTAAGCTCCAATACTGTTCACTAAGTCTAAGAAAACAGAGGAAGGCAAATGGAAGCAGCCACTTGCAGTTCTACTAAAAGGCAGAATGAGAACAGTCTTTAACATACATTTTTCTGCCTTTTTCTATCAAGACTACTGAGTGAGTTTGAGACCAGTGGAAGATTTATCTAGTTTTTAATGGCTAAAATTAAATTTTGGTAGTTCAAAGAATTCCCTTTATTCTTCAGTTTTTATTCTAGAATAATATTAAAATATCTTGAAGCTGAAATTTTATCATTTCCCATCTCTAAACTTCTCTTTGAGATTTGTCCTCCTTTTGAACTGCACCAAGACAATGGAACAAGTGCCTTACCTTATTGTTAGGCCCCTGATATTTAGGAATCTTACGAAGATGTATTCTTGTCTGAAAGTTTCTTTAGCCCAAAGCTGAGCAAACATTTCATTGCACATAATGAGTGGGAAGAATGTTGCCTTCCAATCTTCTCTCAGCTTTTCTGCAAACAAACTGTAAGTTCTTCCAATGTATTGATTCTGAATTATTTGCTACCTACACAGATCTTTCAATTACACAGTCTTTCAATTTACTTCCCAGTGGTGTGGAAGATGCCTTAAAGAAGGACACCAAATGTGTGTTTTGAAGGAAGAACTAGAGAGAGCAGATTCCAACTGAGCAGTCTCTTGGGTTTTCCTTCCCACCATATTCTCACAATCACTGCTATTGCTAATGATAGCCACAGTGGGACAGAGGGAGTCCCCTGTCAATTTCATGCTGTGTTGTCTAGACTTGTTAAAAATGTTAGATTTTGCCATGCTGCTTTCTCTCATGGTGTTCCAAGTGCAGAGAATCTGAAGAAAAAAAAAAAAGGGGTCTGGACTTATCTGTTCCTCTTCTTGCTTGGTCTCAAAACCATCAAAGTTAATGGAAAGGTATCATTGACTTCTAATTCAAGGAAAAGCACATGTAATTGCACTTAAAGCTATGCTGGCAATATGAAAACCTAATACTTAAAATTTCCATGACAGTTTTGACAATATTTGTTCATCTACTGAACTACTTGAGGTGGAGAAATGTATTGCATCTAGCTGATGATTACAGTGATGTTTCGTGTATGTGTAGGAAAAATTCCAAAGGACACTGACACTGCCCAGAAGTACAGACTAGCCAAAACCCAGTCTGCTTCGAGGAGCTGAAATTCCTTGGCAGTGGGAAGTTAGAAAAGATGATTCTGTGCTAGTATCCTGCCTCTGTGCTCCAGTATTTCTCAGCTGGCATATTTTCCAGCCACAGTCACAGACCATTTTACTTTACCCAAAGCACTCAAGAACCTATAAGAAGAGTATCTGGCAGTTACTGCCCCGCTGCCCACTTTGCACCAATCCAGAGGAGTGCCTCTGTCAGAAGCCAGGTCAGCATTCTCAGCATTGCTTTTGAAATACCAAAGAGATTATTTTCATGTGATTCATTGAAATCATTACATACCTGAAAGAAATGGAAAGAAATGGAGAATGGTCTGTGACTGAGTGTCCAGACTGCTGCATGGCACTTCTCCTTTCTTCTTGATGATGACTTGGTAAGACTAGATGTTACCATTTGAAGGATGCATCTGATGTAAAGTCAAAAAAATAAGTCTTATGGGACATTCAGGATCATTCCTACTGGAAAAAAATGAATACGTTTGTAAGGCACTCTGTTGATGACAGCCTATAAAGTGGTACAGCAATATGCAAGAAGTACAGAATTCAGTCGGCTTTTTTTTTTTTTTTTATTTTTTATTTTTTTTTTCCCTCCCACAATTCTTAATCTGCCTTTATGATGTTAAATACAGAAATTACATTTGGGGCTACATTTGGTGCAAATTGGTGTACATCAGGGATGGTTTCTTATAGGAAAATGCAGAAAATCCTTTGTTCCATATGGTTTGATTCATTTACAGAATGAATCCTACAGGAATAATTTCAGATGTGGAAATCTTTAAAATGGGGAAATAAAAACCAGATTTACTGTATTTCTGTTTTCCAACAGAAAGAAAAAAAAGTAGCACTTCACAGTTACCAGTACATTTCAGAAGATAAAGATTGCATCTCAGAACCACTTTTAAATTGTATAATGGCATCACAAAGATTAAAATATTAGTCTTCTTTCCTATAGGAAAGTACTTTACCATTACCAAATGAGAATTGACATTTGAAATATGCCAACTTATTGCAGTGAGCAGACAAACTAAATTCTTGTCTGTGTTCCCTCTCTTTTATCAACAGAGGCAATTTTAGCCTTTCTTTAGAACGTCAAGTAGATGTAGATATATTATTATGAATTTGTGTAGAAGAAAGGAGAGGGGGTAAATTGTGAATCATAGTATGATCTATTTTTATTTTCATATAAATTTTCAGGAGTCAAACAGATCATCCCAGTTAATAATATGGCATCAATTATGTTGTCAAAATAAAGAACACAATATGATTTTAACAGTATTATCATTAGGACTCCATACCAGAGAGCATGATGAAGATGCAATTGAGTTGGTAAAACAGAAGTGAATTTCCTTGCAGAGTGCATAGTGCCTGACTATAGTCTATGGAGAGCTTGTATGTCTCTGAAATATCTTTTTAACTGGAATACACTTAAATTCAGTTTTAGTATTGACTTAGTAGACAGTTAAAGATGTGAAGATTTTACATGTAACTTCACATTTTCACTTGCTTTACATTTTCTGTTGATTTTTCCTCATGGGATACAGTTCTGAAAGTGCAGAAAATTTCAAAAATCATTAAAAAAAACAGGGCTTGTACTAGGCATTAAAATTTGTTCTCTTTTGAATACCTTTGGCATTCTGGATGCAGGAGGTTTGGGTAAAGAAAAGCATCGATTTCAGAGGTGAAATTAGAGAATACCTGTCTAACGTGTACATTTCAGAGAATGTCTTTTGAGAAAGGAGATAGAATTGTGAGCTGGGACTTGATAAGTTGGACAAGATGGTTTATAATTGACATTTGTGTGTCTGCACATATTTTTCTGAAGCATTAGAGATATGTAGTTCTCATGGGATGTCAGTTTTTGGCAGGATAGTGTTGGCACATGGTAGAGCTTCATTGATGCAAAACAAAAATCTGTATCTAGTATTGCATATATAATGTAATAGAATTACCTGATGAAACTTGTTGGGTTTTGACTTGGTAAAAAGGAGTGTTTATTGCTACATGTTTTACAAAACCAAGAAATGAAATAAAATCATAACTGATTAATGAGCTGCATGGAAATACTTCCTCAGTGCCACCCACATTTCTCTGGCCCTGATCCTGGAAACACTTCATCACATGTGGATTTTTATGTGTAGACACTATGTGAAAAATACAACATAGATTTCCCATACTTCGGTCTTCTGGGCTCCAAGAAAGAAAACGACAAGATACTTGATTTCACTGATCAGGTTTTTTTTTTTTTTGTATGAGGACAAAAATTGTAAATAGCTTCATGTTGATTAAATTGTTGGGAGTTGATCACTGAATGATGGCACTCAAATTTTTAGATGCTTTATTTTTGCACGGCTGTACCATAACATGCTTAGATTTCTGCTTAGATTAACCTGATACCAGCATTAATATTGCCTAAAAAGTTAATTGTAACACTGTGCGAAAGTGCTATGCTAATACTGTGGGGTACAACATTTTTGTTCTTCGTGTTACCGAACATGAAACTTGGCCATATTCAAAGTGAAACAATGTATATTTAATTGGGAGGACTATCCAGATTAAATCTTGAGTAAATCCAATTTAGAGGACCACGTTTCAGTCTGTGTAGAGGCTTTGGAAGATCGCTTTAAGAGCTAGCACTTTCCAGTTGTAAACTTTGACAATCGTCCTCTAATTTGTGCTCCTTTTTTTAGTCAGGTTTGATAAGGACACGGAAGATCGAATTCCTTATATCTCCATTACCTCAGCAGCTGGCGCAGGAGCACAACTACACATCACCTGCTGGGCACCATCCTCATGTCTTATATAAACGAACAGCTGAAGAAAAGGTGCACCGGTACACAGTAGAGTCCAATCCCAAATCCTTTTCTCTTGGCCATCATAGAACTCACATTTACCACAAGTATCACACGCAAGCGAATGGTTACCATCATGGAAGGTTTCAAAAGCAACATTTTTGTGGACGTCGCAAGAAATGTATGTAAGGAAACTTTCTCTCCTTGTTTGAGATAGTGGCTCTTAGAGACTGTATGGTGATAGCTGCAGTTTAGTCAGCTTTGTGATGGAGATGTAATAATTTAAAATAGTATGGCTATAAAGGGAAATAGATATGGGAAATGTGATTATTCCTTTAAATTGACTTCATAATTTCTTTATTAAGCAATCAGAATCACTGTTTAGTTTATCTAGATTAAAAGATCCCTTGCCTGACTTTTTTTTTGACATTTACATAGTTTTCAGTAAGGTATTCTGTCTCAGATTGCTGCTCTTCCACAGATAGTCCCTGAACTGTTCCCTGTTAGTTTGGGGAAATATAATTAATTAGGCTTAAAGATGGGGGAGAAGCTTTCTGAATCATTCATTTATGAAGGATGGAGAATAAATCTGTCGGAACTCACCGTATGATAATGAAATTTTCAGCAACTGAGAACTTCCTAACTAAACTGTTTAAATAAAATTTTGGAGCCACTTCCTAAAAGACATTTTAAAACATATTATCCTGCCAAGGTCTATTCCGAGTCTTTCATTAGGCCCCAGATTTCTAAGCATTTTAGAGTCCCTTTGGACTCTATATGTGTACTTAGAATGTTCAGTTGAGTCTCTTTGAAAGCTGATCTGCTTCTGACTTGAATTTCTTAATAAGGGTCTTTTGGATTTAGGATTGCTCACAGTATTGAAGATATTGTCAATCCAGTTATATTCTTCCAGCTTCCTGCTTGAGCAAGTGAGCAAGTTCCTTTTCCAAAAGCCATAAAGGGAATGCAGAGAAAAAAACAAATAGAAGGGAAGGAATGAGAAAGGAGATCTTAGAAATGATGGCTGTCTGAGACTGAGGCCTATTTGAAGCCTGAAAACTGCTTTTTAAAAACTGACTGCTTCTTCAGAAGCCTTGTTTCCTGAATTGAAAGCTAGGCTTCAATGCCAGGTGCTGTGATTCAAATTGTAAACTTGTGCATTCTGAGGAAGGTCAAAGCTACCTCATTACATACAGGAGACCCTTCCCTCCTATCTGGTTTTCATGCTGACTGCTTCAGAGCAAACGAAATGTTGCTAGAATAGCTCATGTGCTCTGTGGTATCTTATTTTATTTGTGTTGTTCACTTGAGTTTCTTACATCTTATTCACTCTATCCTCTATTACTGCCTGTCCAAATTCAGAACTATTCATGTCCTCCTCAGCTTTTACACAGTGCTGGTTCCTGTATTAAATGAGAACATCTAATTTGGCCACCTGGAATAGAAAATTTTAGCTTGAAAAAACAAATGCACAAGCACTGAGTATGAAGCAGAACAGAAATCAATTCTATTAATACTGCCTGTATTTAAGATTAATTTAACCTAACCTAGGAATGAATCAATGCTTGCTGAACAGGAGGGAAGAGCAGTCTGTCATAAAGACAGCTTGACCAACTCACCATATTTTAAAATTTCCTGTATTGGGAGTTTGTAAGGGCTGGAAAAGATAATCATCTTTCAAACTCCTCCTCACAATCTGGCTTCAGATCATAAAAAGTGACTAGTCAGTAGATCATGCTTAAAACATATTTCTGCTTAGGTTCTATTAGCAGCAGTGAAACTCATCCAAGAGCAAAATTCTACTGCTTGTAGATTAGTCTACAGAACATGTAAATAGGAATACAAGAATCTTACTTTTGTGGTATTTCCTTTCTGTGTTGGTAGTGGACATCTGTTGTGGAGTTTTTTTATGAACCCTGCTATGTAAGTAGCACATCCCAAACTCCTCAGGACAGGCCAAATGTGGGTATTCTGTTAATTTTTTATTTTTATTTTTTTCCTACAGATGCCACCATTTTATTATATTGGTTATTTATTTATTTACTTTACACTATATGTACGTGTATGGTTTTCTTATTTAGTTCTCTTCTTGTAATCATCCTACCCTGAAGAAGGAATCAGATCTTGATAAATATACAAGAGCTTCCTGCCCAGAAGTATTACATACTGTAAAAATAATCTAAGGCTCTAAATCTTTGTTATTTCCTTATCTGATGAAAACTGCTCACAAATGATCTGAACCCTTCCCCAAACTGAGTTTTATTTCCTTTTAGATGCACCTAAGCCACCCACAGAAGAGACATATATTCGTTCAGATGAATATGGGACTTCTGCTAGGTTCAGGAGATCATCTGCTAAAATTCAGAAAAATGGAAGTCTAAATGTTGAAACTCTTGTTGTGGCAGATAAAAAAATGGTGGAGAAACATGGCAAGGAAAATGTAACAACATACATTTTAACAGTTATGAATATGGTAAGATCTGATGTACTTGAAGTGTGTTATGACGTTTGTCCTGTGGAATATTGTCCTGTCAAACTCGTATCTTTCATCAGACAAACTGTGATACCAAAAAGAGCATGCACACCTTACACAAACTCTTCTTCAGGTGTCATCTAGTGTATTACTTAGGTCAAGAAGCTTTTTAAAAAAGGGGTTTTTAGATCACTGTCGTGTAAAGAACATAAATGTTTGGAAAATATTTAAAAATGTTAAATTCTAAAATGTGTATCGTGTAGTACAAAGGAGTCATTCATGAGAAATAAAAATTCACTTTGAATAAGTGGAGTGGTTTGGGGCATAATTCTGGGTTTGGATTAATCCTACAAGGTATATAATTTCATTAATGTACTGAAAGTTGAAGCTGAACGTGATAACTCAATTCATGCGTCTAGTCTACTTTAAAAGGATTTTTTAATATATGTAGTTGATGTTTCTTCTTCAATAATCACTACAGGTTTCTAGTCTGTTTAAAGATGGAACAATTGGAAGTGACATAAACATTATCGTTGTGAGCCTCCTCCTTTTGGAACAAGAGCCTGTGAGTTGTGTCAGAATTTTTGTGGTGTATATTTTGTTTCATACTGTTCGCAAGGAGCACTGGACATTCCCATTTTATGTATGTGAACTTTCATTAGAGTTTGTTATGATATAAAATGTAAGAAGAACACTGAAATAACAAAAACCTCAAAAAGCATGTTTTCTACATTCCATGTTTTTCCATTTTTTAATACTAAATCTTAATTTTCACTTAAATGTTCTTTAGAACCTTAAGATAAATCTTAACAGTAATCCTGCATTTTCTTAGAGAGAGCTGTAAAGAGAAATCTAATTAAGAATCATTTAAATACATTGAAAGGTTTTGAACTAAGCTCTCCAGTGTGATAATCAGAAGGAAGGAGTCAAAAGTCACAGTGTAGACAGCATACAGCAGAAGTGGGAATGGAACTGACTGTTTTGTCAATAGTCCTGAAAGAGAAGAAGAAAAAACCTTTCTGATGAAAAGAAATTTGTGAGGTATTCATTTACCTGGATAATATTTGTCCTCCAGAGAAGTATCACACATACTAATCACAAGGTAGAAAATATTTCAGCATTCAGCTTAATTGGGAATCAAATGTATTTGTATGCTGTAATTCCAACCATTGACTCTGAAAATATTATTTGGGGAATGCTTCAGTTTTATTCTATAATTCTAATACATTCATTCACCAGCTGGTCCTCACAGACAATAAATATAGGAATGCATAAGTTCACATAGAGAAAGAAAAATCCCTATTCCCTAACTAACTCTTCTTCCTTCAGTGATCTTTCTCAAGTACTGATGGAAGCATCTTATTTCTGTCTTTGAAATACCTACAGGGTGGATTACTGATTAACCACCATGCGGACCAGTCACTGAATAGCTTTTGTCAATGGCAATCTGCTCTAGTTGGGAAGAATGGAAAGCGCCACGACCATGCCATCTTGCTTACAGGTTTTGATATCTGCTCCTGGAAAAATGAGCCCTGTGATACTTTAGGTATGATATGAAAACTTCTGGATGTGAACAGCAACATCTTCATTTATAGACACTGCAGTGTCTTAAAATAAGAAAAGTCATTTTTTGCATATAATGTTAGACTTGTTGAACAGGAAAAAGCAGTACTACCATGCAGTATTAATACTACATAGTTTTCTTTGGAGTACCTAGCAGAGAAAGATTTCCAGAATTATTGCATTGAAGACGTTCTTCTGAATTATCACCTCTGGAAGGAATATTTGGGATTTTGAAAATGTTTATGAGCCACTCTGATTAGATTTGTTTTGACCTTCTTTTATTTTATGTATTTTACATTTTATATTTTATATTATGACTACTTACCCTTTTTGAATGAGATTCCTCCCTTATTTGGGAACAGTAAAGACACGTAGGGGTAAAGAATAATCCTTACCAATAAAGTGCAATTAGGATGGTTAGGATTGTGTTGCATTAACTTCTGATACAGGATCTCCTTTATTGTCAAATAGAAGTCTGCTTTAATTTTTCCATAATAAATCTGGTGAAGAAGAAAATCATATTGCATCTTTACGCACCATGATAGAATGGTTATTAAGATCAGTGCAGATGATATATATATTTAGCAGTCTGTAGAGGAACAACCTTTTCTACTGTTTCCTTCCTTCAGGATTTGCACCTATCAGTGGTATGTGCAGCAAATACCGTAGCTGTACCATTAATGAAGATACAGGCCTTGGACTGGCTTTTACAATTGCTCATGAATCTGGACACAAGTAAGTTACATTTCATGAGTCTCACCTGCTCCTTCTATAGCTTAATTTGCATGTGAATGGATGTTTTCCTGTGAAACCTACTCTAGGGAATTTGCTCTAGCAGGAGATTTGGACTAAATGATCTCCAGAGGTCCCTTCCAATCCTGAGGATTTTGTGACTCTGTGAATTCTGGCTAACCACTGGCAGTACAGTAGCATCACTACTCTCTATGGAACAAACCTGAAATCAAGGCTTAGAGAAAGTGTGGACATATGGTCACTTTACTGTGTATCTTTCAAAAGCAGTGCTACTGTATTCTGTTGTTTGCTCAAGGCATGAATCCTTCTGCATGGCTGAATCAGGACTATTTAGTTTTCATTGTACAAATATGCTCTACAGTATATACTATGACCTAACGTCTACATGAGTGACCCTTTCACAAGTTTCTGTACATCTGAAGGGAAACAAGGAATTAAAGAATAATCCAGCTACAAGTGAAGTCCATGGGAACAGAGCCAATGCATTCAGTAGGACCAAATATGTAAAATGCGTAGGGCTTGATCCTCCTGCCACACTAATGCAATTTCACTGACCTCAGTAGATTTTTAATGCGCTTCCATCAGAATTAGGAAGAGAATTATGCCCATAGCTCATTTTTCAAGAATTACCCCCTTTGGTAGACTAATCTTCCTTCTTATTTGTTTTCTTCTTACTGACTTTGAGAGATTACACTTGCAATATCTTTTCTTCAGTGTTGATTTTTTTTTTTTTCTTTTCCACCACTGCTTTTGATTCTTTTGATTACACAGCCTTTGGTATACTTCTATACTCTTGTCTAATGATATGCATCTTACATTCTGGAAAACATCTACCCCAGATACAAACCAGCTTTATTATCCTATGTTCATGTTCGTGTTCCTGAGACTACCCAGGGTAACATGTAAAATGACAGAACTTGGTCTCTGTGATACAAAGATTTGTGGAAGAAAAATGTCCTCAAAACTATTGCCAGGAAATCCTAGCAATCACAAATACGCAGAATGCAGCTTTGGGAAGAGTACTCAGTTTTATGATCTAAAGGTGTGAGGTACTTCAGTGCAATTCTGAACATTCAGGATCTCTGTCTACTGATCAGTGTTTATATAACAGGTTAAGAAGTGCTCTTACACTGTGTTTGTGTTGGAGAACAAGTGATGTTCTGTGGCAAATAATGAAAGTTCATACTATGGTAAAAAGTATTTGTTTGACAAGATGATGCATAAAGGACATTTCTTGGAGTTTTCTCATTTCACTCATTGTGTGTCTTTGAAAGTTACACACCTCTTTGTTACGGTCTTTTTATGGTTTCATTTAAGTACTTTATGTCTTTACCTGAAAGTTTTAACATTTTCTTTGGGAGTTCAGAGCCCATTTTGTCGGTGGATATTAAAACTGGATTCTTTGGCTGCAATGCATGTGAACAAAGCTTGTATCTTATAAAAGATTATAAAATATTAGCTCAGTTGGGACTTTTTTTTGTCCATTTGTGGAATGAGCCGTATATTTTAGCATGCTTGGAGCCACAGTTGATGGCAACACATTCAGTAACTGATGAGCCTGCAGTGATTTATAATAGAGGATTGAGCCCAGTAAATTGGATATTCTCTGCACATGCACGCATTGCATTTATAAAGTTGCCAGTGTATTACAATGTTGAAGTAACAGACTATGAAATTTCTATTCAGAACATACTGAAATTCACAAATACCCTGTATAATGAGTAAATACAACATAGTGAAACAAAACCTATTAAATTAAATTTATTATGAAAATTAAATTTATTATGATCATAAGCTCCACATCATTTATCACTTTCAATGTGGCTTTTATTATTGCTTACTTATTATTAATGCTACTAAATGCTTCTTTATATACTATGCATGTTTTCCTCAACTGGCCCTACATGCTGTCCTTAACTAGTAATAATAGTGACTCTGGGGTAATTTCTGCACAACAGTTAGCTGCACAACTCATCAGCTGCAGTTTTTTTGTTTGGTTGACTGACTTTTTTTCTTCCTTATAAAGTACTCAATATTTTAGAGATGTGAACATAGAGCATCTAGAGTACAAACCTGATTTTGACATTCATTTGCTTCATTTGACTAGGACTGTGAAGACAAAGAACAATAGTTTTGACTTGAACTTCTTAGTATCTCTCTGTTTCACCATGATATTGCATGGAATTCATCATCTGTTAATCTGTTTATTGAAGAAGGTGATATAGTAGATTCTTCTCTGTATTCCCTCTAAGTGTTCCTTCAAAGAGCAATATCATTAGTAGCAAGAGGCAGTTGACTCCAAATACTGTAAGTTGTTGGCTTCTTATGGAACGTCCAACAAGGTGGCCAAGTGCAGTAGTTGTTTTTGTAAGCACAGGGAAAGGCTTTCATGACTGAATGCATCTGCTCATTTTAGATGTAGCATAAAACAGATGATAATAACATTCACTTGCAATTCATGAAAAACCAAACAGGCAGGATTTCATGAAAAAATAAGAAATGGTTAAATGTAAAACTTCTCATACAGTCTGCAGCTGGTAATTAGATGCCACTGTCTTGTCATGGGCTCACACTACAGAGCTCCTATTCATCACCAATATGGGTCTTTCTTGAAAAATTACTATCTTTTTCTAATTAGACTGAAGGCAGTAAAATCTGAATGCTACTAAATGGAGCTTGTTTCATAATAACTGTCATTTTTGTGGTGTTTTGTGCTTGTTTTCAACTCTGTGGATTTCAGTCATAGAAGCGTTGCCTGTAATGTGTTTCTCCTGCCTCAAATTGTTTCTGGCTTCTGATTAATCAACATTTTCACTCTTATGTATGGCTCTTTTTCAGCTTTGGTATGATTCATGATGGAGAAGGAAATCCTTGTAGAAAAGCTGAGGGAAATATTATGTCTCCCACACTCACAGGAAACAATGGAGTGTTTTCTTGGTCTGTATGCAGCAGGCAGTATCTCAACAAATTTCTCAGGTAGGTCAGATGTAAATCTGGGCCAGAGCCAGGGAATGTATCTTACTAACTGGGCTTGAACTTTTGAACAGACATAAAAATTACTTAAGTGTGAAATGTACGTCTTTTAAAATGTACTCAAACCAGTGCACTATTTGAGCTCTCACACTTGGACTTTTGAGGCATACAGGTGGTATGGTATTTAAGTGCCTTTGTCCTGCCTCATTTCAAAAGAATGGCTTTCATCTTCTATGAATATCCTACATTAATGACTGGCATATCATTCCTTCTCAGGCATTCCTGTCAGCAACTAGCTTTGTTAGAGAATTAGCAGGAAGTAAACATAAAAGAGAGCAGTCAGTGCTACCAAAGTCATTACAAAATGCAAATTAACATTAGTGGACTTTCTCCCTAAAGTTTCTCTCTTGATCTAGCTCGTGTCATGAGTTTTAAGTTTTAAGTTTTTCATACACTTGTCGTGGAGAGAAAAAAAAAAAAAGAGAGAAGATCTGAAGATCTATCTATTTCTCCGGAGTGTTAGCATTATTCAGTGATGCTTTTAAACAAGCTGTATTTTAGTTTACATTTGATGTCATCATAACTGCACTCTTTTCTCATAGAACTTTCCTTTTATTGAGTTTGTCGTACATAGGGAGGCTATACTTCATTATGCAAAAGCGTGTAACAGGTATCAGACAGAGATCCAGTAAGGATCTGTGAGGATCTCTGTAGATCTAGGATTTAAAGTAAGCAAGAATCAAGCACCTATGTTCTGTGGATCCAATGCTTGAATTCCAATTCAGTATCTTAAAGCAGTAAGGGAAAAGGGAAAAAAGAAAGAGCTCTGGTGATTTTGCCTTCCTCAGTGATGCAGCATATTCAGATTACCCAAATTTAGAATTAAAAAACCATGTAAGCCCTCCAGTGTGCAGTATGGCCCAAGAGACTTACACTTGGAAGATATATCCAAAGTGATCTTCCAAATATATGGTTTCTCAAACACAGATAAAGGAAAAAAAGTAGACCATAGCACAGCTTTGGCATTTAGCTGGATCCAGCCGGCCTAAAGCACACAAGCTGCAGCAGGCTTCTGTTTGTCAATCTACAATATGTGAATGCTGCAATGAGCTGGTATCTGTGTTGTCTCCATTGTTTCCTGATTTTGGGAACCCACTGCAGGAAAAAAGCAGAATAGATTAACTTGTTCTTGGTTATATGCAAATAAAGAGAACTGAAGAAAGTGACATAATTCTTTCTTGTCACAACAGCCAAAGCCTGGAAATTCTTGCCTCCATAAAAGTTTGCAGGTCAGGCTATCAACAAGATGTGTCAAGATCTTTTGGCTCCTGCAACCAGATATTCTTATTTCAGTACATGACTATAAATCTAATTAAAAGTACTGTATACCATGCTATGTGTTTTTACTGTTCTGTAACAAATTGTTTTGATACGAACATCACAGTCATTATTACTACATTCTCATTATAGTACAGCTCAAGCTGCCTGCCTGATTGATGAACCTAAGCAAACTGGACAGTATAAATACCCTGACAAACTGCCAGGGCAGATGTATGATGCTGACACCCAGTGCAAATGGCAATTTGGAATAAGAGCAAAAGTGTGCAACCTCAGCTTTGTAAAGGTACCTATTGATATTATTGTAACACTGTTACAATATGTAAAAATGTAAAAATAACAGTGAGGTTTCCAGAGGCCAGGACTATTTATCTACCATACCTTGCTTGGCAATTTGCTTTGAAGGCTTTTTGCCTCCTTTAAGAGATGTCATCATTCCAGAGGAGTTTCAAAGGGAAATTTGTTCTTTTCAGGAGTTGTAAGAAGTGCAGTTGAATACATAAGACCCAAGACCTTGCCTTTATGCTTATTTCCTTATGCTTAAGGAAATGAACAGGCAATACAGCTTTGATGAAAACTTTCATGGGATGTGGGAGGTGGCAAAAGGAGGAAGCTTCTTGTTTTACTACTATGCATTAACTTGGAAGTCTGGTAAGGATTTATAAAGTTATATAAGAAAAAAGGGAAACTGACTCAACTTTGTGATGAAGGATTAGTATTTTTTCTTCTTCTCTTCAGGATATTTGCAAATCTCTCTGGTGCCATAAAGTGGGTCACAGATGTGAAACAAAATTCATGCCAGCAGCAGAAGGAACAGCTTGTGGTATAAATATGGTAAGTGAATGACAAAAGGGGAAACATTTTAGCAGAATTTTTAAATAACGTGGGAAGTTTTGGGGTTCTGACAGCCCAGGACCATCAGTTAACATGGTTTTTTTGGAGAACATTACCCAAAAAATATATTCTGCAAAAGAACAGTTTTGAAGACTTGTACTTTAAAGATCTTAAACTCAGAGCTTGGACAATGTTCTACTTCAGAGTTCTTGTCAAACTGAAAACTATCTCAATTGGAAACATTTGGTTTATTAGGCTAAAGCACTTGAGCTTTTAAATGTCCTATTTTTTTTTTTTTCTGTTTTGCACCTACTAGGTACCACTAACTCTGATGGGATATTTTTTGGCATTCTTTTGGCAGTGGTGTCGAAGAGGACAGTGTGTCAAATATGGTGATCATGGACCCAAGCCTGTAAATGGCCACTGGTCTGCCTGGTCTGAGTGGTCACAGTGTACTCGGACTTGTGGAAGTGGGGTCACATATCAAGAAAGACACTGCAACAATCCAAAGTAAGACATAGATATGAAAAGGTATTGTTTTTATACTAATTATGTTATTAAAACAAAAGAAAACAAAAAGAATATAGTCAATTTCTTGAGAGAAATATGTGTGAAATGCTTCTCAGGCTCTTTTTCCATGTCCAGTAAGACCAGTCAGTAGCTGAAGGACAGGCGTATGTTCTGCTAGTAGAAAGTAGTGGCTGACTGAAGACTTCTAGAACACTGAAACATCTATACAGCCCAACTTTTTGAATTTATTGTGTGACACTGCAGTTTATCAAACACCTGCTGCAGTAGAGAAATGCCACACAGACACATTCACACCTAATAATTTAAGAGTAAGTGAAATAATTCTTATAAGCTATTAAAAGACTCCTGGTGGGATCAGACTATCTTGTATAATAAACCAAAGTTGTTTAAAGTCAATATCAAAATGGTTGTAGACAGATGACTTTGTATGTCTGCCATGTTCTTTGTATTCTTCCACGTTTCACAGGTCATAAAGTTGCTGAGCCATAGAATTGTATGGTACCTCATAAAACATTTCTGGTTTGTTCCTCTAGTGAATGTCTTACTGCTGTAAATACTACTATTCCACACACTACTATTTCAGGGTAGAAATAAAATGTTATCAGATCAAAATCTTTTCCAAGTACTCAAATTATTGCAACTTACTAAAAAAAAAAAAAGATTTCACTATTCCATACAAAACTTTAACAGGCACATACATATGAATTTGTCATTGCACACAATAAAAACAGCATTTAAACTACAGTAATAATAATAATAATAAAAAAGAAAACATGAGAAGTTTATATGAGGCTGTAAGGAACCCTCATACCTATTATAGAGTGCTACACTAGTAATATCCAAGCTTCATATATTATGTTGAGGGAAAATGCAAAAATGTAAATTAGTTAAAATAGTCTTTATTACCCTCAGTCAGTCAATCTTTGCAGATTCATAGCAGAGCATTCTCAACCTTTTCTGTCATTTCTCTGTGGTTTTTCTTACATAAAACTAGTTGGATATTTTCATTTTTAAAAGTATTTAGCAAGAGAATAAAGCCTTAATTTTGTCATACATATATCAAAATCTTTTTCTTACCTTAGAGTCTGTTTTTCCTGCTACATTTGCATGTATGGATGTCACTTTCCCTCTGAGGCAGAAAAAAGTACATTAGTTGCAATGTTTCAGATTGGCTCATTGTAATAATTAGTAATGATTTCAAATGATGTTAATGCAAAAGCTCTTCTTTTTGAAATGTGCCTTGTTGTAGCACTTTGAATTTAAAACTTGCATTCAGAGTGATCTGTCTATTCTAACTTCTGTAAAACCTGATGTAAAACCAAATGTCAGAACTGGACTGTATCTCTACAAAATCTAATTTTATTACAGTAGTGTTTATCCAGTAACTCCAGTTTATCCAGAGCAAAGAGAATAAACTGCAAATCTCTCTCAGAGTAAGAGTGATTAAAGGACTGTATAAAAGCCATCTACACAACACTGTATAACAGTGAATGAATATTCAGGTGACTGTATTTCACATCACAGAACTTTCGTATGTAAGTAGAATCATTAGAAAAATGATCCTACCCATTTTCAATGTTAAACCATATGGAAAGATTTATAGCCTACTGACTGTTCATTGTTCACTTCTAAATCTACAGATAAACAAAGAATAATGATTCCTTTCTTTCTGAACTTCTGAAATACATTTCAGATGTTTATACATTTCAATATATATATTATTTCATACGTAAGATATTTATTTCAGTCTTCTTAATCCAGGTTTGTGTAGGAGCTAATGTTTGTTTTGTTCAAATGCCTGACAGATGATTTTGGATAGCAAAGTTCTGAGAATGCCAATAAATAATATGTGTTTGTATAAGAGATTATGACAGGGGCTGTGGATCTCTGAAGAACTGACTGGACTCTAACATGTTTTTTTAAGATTAGTACTCCATTTTTTCTGAACAACTGACTTAGGAACACTGAGGGAAACTTCTAGGTTTCTGGTGATTTCAGTGGTGACACACCTTACTTAAAAGCTTAAAGACAGGTGAGGAATGTAGCTCCAGGCTGCTGCTTATGAAAATCTCATTATCTGTGTTTGTATGTGAAATTCACCTCTTGAAAATGATATCCAACCAATTCAATTTCCTTTTGTTTGATAATTACAAGATGGATGTTTTGTCTATACCCAAGCAGCTCTGGCTATGGCTTCTGAATTATCACCTCAGTTCTGTGTGAATTTGTAATAACAAACACGTATGGAGGTCATCTGTAGAACATGGCCAGCAAGATTTGCTAAAATCACTATGTTTCTCTAAATTGTCCCAGTGTAAATTCATGGATCTGGTTTTCACACATCACATTTTACAATCAAGGTACTTTTCCAAGATACAAATATGTTAAATCAGTTAATAGTTTGCTGAGAAAGAACCTAAAGAGTGAGAGATTTAAATGAATACCTAAATCATATCTCTGATTGTGAAAGACATTTTAGACCGTTTGAATATGTGCAGAGAACTATTGTCCATCTTTGTGACACTGTCATAACATGGCCATTATATGGGTAGGAAGTTGAATTAAATTAATTACAAACCATGGGAAAAAAAAGTAGTCCAGAAATTTCAGTTTAATTCCCTATTCAGTTTAATGTATTAAATGTTTCCCCTCATCAGATTAGTTCCATGATTTTATACTTCATGTTGCATTCCAGTGAATAGCAATTTTATTTTCCGTCATTGTTCATTAAGTGTATTCTGAAAAGGGTAGAAACTGTACGATTTATTTAAGTTCCACTTGTAGCATTTTAATATTTGACTCTTGTATGAAGTGGAGTTTGGCAACTTTGTACTCATGCTGCTTTTACAATTCATTCTTTGGACACAGATCTTTTGCAGTCCTTTCTTACTTAGTTACTTACTTACTTCTCCAGTTATCATCAGTATGGCCTCAGTTCTATCAGCATTTATTCATGCAAGCATCTTTACCAGCCTATGCCAAAGCTGGGAAGGTACACACATGAAAGTTTAGGCTTCATCTGCACTCAGGGCACTATACTGCTATAGTGGAATACCAATGAGCATGGTAATACTCACAGAGCTTCTGTGAGCCTCAAAGCTAAAACCTGTTGGTATAAACCAACTAACAGAAGCATGATTTTATCGGTGTAGATAATAGCCTTTTCCCTGAAATTTGCTTTTATAGCCCTTTAGATTCCTGTGAGTTACTTAACACTTCCTGACATCATGATGTAAGAAAGGAAGTTGGAAATGCTTCTATGGATTTTCTGGCCAGCAGTTTCAGTAATGAGAGTGTACTGTAAGATCAAAATACTGCTGTGACAGGGTTGGAGAACAGAATGCCTGTTTCAGTGTTTCCCTAGTTTGGTGGAATTTTATACCATCTTCAAATACAAGCCTGTGGCTAGAGATCATGATCTAGCCATAAATAATTCTATTATATCATTTATTTGGTGGCATTTACTTGGAATAAGGTTGCTTCTTTTCTGTACACTAAAGCAGATTTGTTCTCTGGGGTAGAAGAGGTCAAAAAAATCACACATGTGCTGAAGCTGAAAAGAAAATCTGTAGAGACTTGAGTAAGAACCCAACACTTGGCTGACTTAACTGCAAGCTCCCCCAGTTGCAAAGTCAACACAAACACTCCTGGACTTCATGGATGTTTCACATCCTTCCTGCCCTTCAAGGAATGAATTGCCACCACCTAAGACAGAAAATCTGACTCTAAGACCTTTACTGCTGTACTGTCTAGTATCAGCATAGTTAGTAGATGAGCACAAGAAAAGGTCAGCTAAAGTGTTTCTTCCACAGTATGTTTCTCTGGTGCTTCAACTCAGTTTTAAATGGAGTAGAAAAGTGCTTCTCTCTTCGAAGCTGGACCAAGCTGTGTCCGTATTACTCCATAATCAGAAGTTGCTTGAGATACTTGGTATGGCTTACAGTTTACAGTATGCTTTTTAAGGCTTTAAACAAGCAATACTGATCATACTTGCTGCACCCATACCTTTTATATTAACTATACATTTAGCTATCATCTCTATGTAATATTTTACATTTAAATATGTATTTGATAGTATTTATATTTAAAATTATCTTAACTACTACTAATTATTAAATAACTAATAATTTGTCTAAGTACTTTTACCATCTCATATGTTTTATGCTCATTTTTCCCTAATGTGTGTGTGTGTGTAATATGCTCATGGCAACCACTGAAAGATCATAGCTTATTTTCCAAGTTTTCCTAATTTTTAAATATCATAGTATAGATGTGTGAATAATTTTTATTTTTTTTTTATTTGATGCAAGAAATAATATAGTATCACAAAGTTCTTAAGAGTTTGGGGTTTTGAAGACTTGGCTCAATGCTTGCAGATATATATCTGAGAGCAATGGAACTGCAAAAATAACATCAGTGGATTCTTAGGAGATCCAGAGGGAATAAAAAAGTGAGTGAGTATATTTCTCAGCAGTTTATGAGACCCTTCAGTCACTTTAAAAAATGCAGTTCTTACATTTTTACATTGGCTTACAGCTGTGTGCATAGATCAAGTAGTAACAAACACACACACGTACATATTATTCTGATAGCATAAGATATGAGCAAACTAACAGAATGCATTCTTTTCATCCTCTCCAGAGTAAGGGAAATTATGGTTTGTTGAAGCAGATATGATACATTTGAAGTTACCCACAGATATCAGTGGTATCTTACAGGAGGCAACTATGCATACTTTCCTACTACCTTTCACTGTTTTAAACCAAGCTTTTAAAAAACGATTTACCAGAAAATAAAAACAATGAAATGTGATTATTTTGTTCTCATCTGATCGGTTTTGCGTTATCCTTTATTAACTCCTAGTGTGACAGGCAATTTTTGCACATGTTCATTTGCATTACAGCAGAGTAAGGATAGCCATATAAAAAGAGCGAAATCAGCCAACACAAATAGCCCTATAAATTTTAATTAGCGAAAACACTGTTCACCTCTAGATGCTTGCATCTTTGCTGAGATTGCAGTGATCCATGAAGATAATTCATGGCAACTGCTTTGCTGGGTTTTAGCAACTATGAAAATTAATGGTTTGCGTAAGAAATACCGATTCCCCAAGACAACTCTTATTTTCTCTGTTAATGTGTGTGTAACATGCCAATCACATAAAAAGTAGATGTTGCTAATGATTTTTTTTTCTTTTCTTTCTTTTTAAGGCCACAGTATGGTGGCAAATTCTGCCAAGGTTCCAGTCGTATTTATGAACTTTGCAATAATCAGCCATGTCCAGCAAATAGTTTGGACTTCCGTGCCCAGCAGTGTGCAGAATACAACAGCAAACCTTTCCGGGGATGGTACTACAAATGGAAACCATATACTAAAGTGGAAGGTAATTATGCCACAGCTTCGATGGACAAAGGCAATTGCAGGAAGCAAGCTATCAGCTGTAATTCATCCATATTCGTTAGGCAAATATCACCCTGATGTAAGCAAACAGAAATTCAGTTGGCTTATTTGAGGTATGTTTGCTTTCCAGCATAGTTGAATCCGTCCTCTTATGTGATACCATCTGTACGAACATGCAGAGTTCATTTCGGTTGAGAATTTAAATCTTTGTCCTTAGCATGACTCCCTCGCCATTGCTGTTCCTTTCTTTAATATTATATTAGATATATTTTAGTATAAAGCCAAAATAACAGACAACAACAAAAATGCCATTAATTTTTCTGCATGGGAAATGTGAGCTCACACAGTAAAACTACCAGAATCTTCTTTTCTACGGAATGGTCTCAGATTTCAAAATCTAATCATAAACAAAACTCACTTTTCTACTGGTACAGTCCCGTAAGAATCAGAAAGATAAACAATGTACTGACAAACATCTTCTGAAGTCATCTTTCACTGAGAGATCTTTATAAAATTTAGGTATCAATAGCTATCTCTTGTCTTTTGTGGAATTAAATAATATTTTTAATTTATGCATCTTTATTCTGTAAATACTTTGCATCAGTATTCTCCACTGTACTCTTGATAACATGGTCTCTTTCTCAAAACTGCTACAGATGCTTTGCCTCTGTAGAAAGTGGAGTCCTAATTACAACTGAAAACCCAACTGAATAAAAAAGAATACTGTTTCAAATTTAATTTCATGTTCTTGAACATTGTATATATTGCTCTATTGGTATTAAAATGGTGCTTTGAGTCAACACATACAATTGCATCACTGTATTGGCCAGCATATAATTTATCAGTCTTTTATAAGCACTATATGTGAATAAGAAGAAATTTGATTGACAGTTGCTTGGACTTTTTAGAGGAAATGTGCCTTGCTTAGGGGAAAACCTGTTCCCAGTACTAGCTTCCAGCTGAGCACTTGTGCCATCTTATCTTTTTAAAATTTTAATAAACATTTAGTACAAATATTGCAATTTCCAATTTCTCTTAATAAAAAATGAAATTTGAAACTGGAGACAAATAGAGCTGAAATCATGGCCACATCAGCAAAGCTCACAGAATGTGCCTGCTTTTACACTGCTGTTCAACTCTTAATTCTCTGAGTATGTGGACCATTAAACCCACACATTGTTTTAAACGATATTTGGCTGTAATTCCACCTATCTTGGGATCCTAACATGTCAGGACACAATTAATTCTTGTAGCTGCTAATTGCCACCTAGGATGCAGGAAGAAGCAGCTGGATGCTTTGTGTTGCTTTTTTTGTTTATTTTCAAGCCATGCCCCAGGTCTAGTAATACTTCTTTGTTTTTGTTTTTTTCCCTTCAGAGGAAGATAGATGTAAATTGTACTGCACAGCTGAAGACTTTGACTTCTTCTTTGCAATGTCCAGCAAAGTGAAGGATGGAACCTTGTGTTCTCCTAATAATTACGACGTTTGCATTGATGGAATTTGTGAAGTAAGATAAAATTAAGTTCCTTACAATCCTAATGTCTCTTACTGTTCCTTTTTTCCTTTTTTTTTTTTAATAATAATAAGTGGGAAATTGATTCCTTTGTAGAAAATGCAGCTGTTTCTTCAAATCTCTTGTGTCTGAGTCCTTCACTTCTGCCTTTTGGTTGCAGCAAGTAGGGTGTGATCATGGACTTGGTTCCAAAGCTGTACTGGATGCTTGTGGAGTTTGTAAAGGAGATAATTCAACATGCAAGTTCTTTAAAGGCCAATACTTGATCCAGCACAAAGCTAATGGTAAGGAAAGCTGTTCCACATGATCATCAACTCATTGCTCTTCTGTATCCCCATATAATATATATGATTCCTTGCTCATTAGGGCAGTGGTTAAAAGTCCAGATGTGAACTGAAAATCACAGGGAGAGTGAGAGAAGAGTTCACATTTCTCCTGTTTCTTGGTAACAAGAAAGCTACGAACATAAGTCTTGGTTAGTTAATCTGCAGGAATTCCTCTTGTTTCTTAAAACACTTTCCTTTTATGTATGAATTTCCTTTTTAAAAAGATTTTAGGATTTGTGCAAGTGTGTCAACAGTTCTGATTGGAATGGGACAATGGAATTTCCCATTATGTGTACCATAAGAAGTGAAACACAGCATAATGCCAAACAGGAGAGTATTTCCATGCCCATTTTCAAATTAAATTGATTGAAAGCAATCCAGTTGATATAGAGGATAAGCCAGTCACTAGGATGAAGACTTTTCTTTAGTGGTCTATTACAGTGGTCTATAAAATCCTCTCACTGAAGCACAATCTCTTTACCCCCATGGATATTTCGCAGATCCATTAATTGAAGATATAAGATATGTGACATCTTACATCTCACTACAGTGAGATGTAGCAGGAAATTATTTAGGATATTGTTATATAGAAATATAATACTAGAATAATCTAACTATGCTTTGCAAAATGAGCTGTGTGCAATGTGAGTGCTGGAGGCTGTCAGCAGTGTATGAACTGACTGTAGAATGAAGTAGTGATCCAGTGTTATATGGGGCACTGTGGGGGCTCTATCACGGTGCATCTGACCTCAAAAGGATTGTTGATGACTGAAGTAGGACCTTCCCTACTGTAGAGAAATACAGGGAAAACATAGTAAAACATTTACAGTGAAACCATCATTATTCTGTTCTACATTTTTCTAAGGTGAACTTGCTGCTTCTTGTCTTGAGTGACACAAAAATTCTAGGAATTGAAATACCTCAGAGTCACTCTGATTACAGACTGCATAGGGGGGTTAAAATCAGAACTGCTTTCTTCTTATGGAAATGGAGTAACTTTGGTAGATCAGAACAGCTGCCTTCAGTATCTTCCAAATTGGCTCAAGAAGGAGAAGCCTTCTCTGTCTGTACAATTGCAAAAATGTTGCTTTACTTCTTTTATTTCAGACTACTATGCTGTGGTCACTGTCCCAGCAGGAGCACGCAGCATTCACCTCCATGAAATGCAGATCTCCACCAGCTACCTCGCAGTGCGCAATCTCAGTAAAAAGTATTATCTAACAGGAGACTGGACAATTGACTGGCCAGGAAAGTTTCCTTTTGCTGGAACAGTTTTTGATTATCAGCGCTCATTTAACCATCCAGAGAGTCTATATGCAGCTGGACCAACTAATGAGACGCTGGTCTTTGAAGTAAGCTTTTTTCTATTTATTCTTCCCTTGATGTCTATTACAGAATCAGTAACGACAGCTTTAGCTCTGTGCTGTAGCTCTCAGAGAGATTAAAGAACAGCGTTGAGTCATGATAGTATTCAGACTTAATTGTGTAGTCATGCTACATCGAAAGGCCTTTCAGCAGTTCATCAAGGTTTGAAGTTTACAAAACTGTCACAAATTCAGTGAAAAGAAAGGTGCATAGAACATAGCGTGTATCATTATTTCTCCTTTGCTGCACAATGGTAGTAGTGATTATAAGCACATCCCACAAGTGGTGTGCTATAAAATTTAGTGATGCAAAAAAACAAATCTCAGTTATGCTATAGGGCTTAAAAGTAACACTTTCAAATAGTACCTTGGAAAATGCAGGCACGTGTAGTCCTTTTTACGTCTACCTTGGGACACAGATGGTCTAAGCACCACACATTAGGCTCCTGGGTAGTTTCTGTTAATTCGGTTTTATTGGCGATAGCATCTAGAATAAAAGCTTTTGTATATGTTTATCTCCCACTCGACTTTGTACTACTTACTCTGTCTGCCAGATGTCCTGTGTTGAGACTACGTTGAGGAGAAAGTAAATTTGGTACATAGATGGTTTGATACACCGATGCACTGAAAATGAGCCACAAGTACTTCTGTTGTGGGAAACATCTCTGCATTGGGTTGCCTCACTAGATTTTCTGTTTAAATGTATCAGAACATCTGAGGGTCAATATCTGACTGAATCACCTAAGTGGATCGTTCACCACATTAGTTGTCCTGCTTTGTTGGAAGGCTCTAGCAAATCCCTGCATTTTAACTTGTCTGTTATGTGTGTTTTGATTAATCCTGTCATGGGAGAAGGAAGAAGCACTCCCCAGGAGAGATTCAATTCCTTCCCACTTCTTCCAGCAATACCCTCTCCAGCTCACTAGCAAACACCCCTTTCTCTAGAGAGTATGTGGGGAGCATGAGGGCTGTACCCACTCTGAGGCAGTGGTTGGTGGTTCTTCATCCCATCACGTAACACCGTAACTGAACACTGCTCTCTGCACAAGTTTAGCAGGAGCGGTTAACCAAGAAATCTGCATCCTGTTTCCATTACACAGCTTTGTTCCTTTAAACTTAGAAACACAACAAATATAGACTGTGATATGAAATACATTCTTCAAGGATTATTTAAACTTTCACAGCTATTCAGTCAAGTTTTATTTTAAATACTGAGAAGCCATACCATTATTCATACTGAGTAATGAGCATCTATTTAAGCACTATTGAAGCTCACAGACCTTGAACATATGTTAAATTACCTTAGGATGGACAGTTTGACATAGGAAAAAGGTGTGTATTTTAGCAAATCATCACACTTTGCATTCCCTTTTTAAAATATAGGTTAGCAAGAACATTTTAGTCCAAAGAAGAGTTTTGGCCTACAAGTTACAGACATGCTTCCATGTCCATAAATCATTTCCAAAATAGCCATATAACAAAGAAATAAGCATACTTATGAATGTTATGAAATGCTAATCTGAACTCTCAGGAATCTTATTTGTCATAATACAAAGTAAATTGAACACCATTATTATAGAACTAAAGTATGAATAATAAATTGCCTCTAGATGACTTACTTGGCTGCATGTCATGCAAATACTTCACAGAATAAAGATTAAAGAAAAAACACTTAATGCCAAGTACCACTTCTATTTTCATCCTATCATATTATGCTAAACAGTTTTATTGAGATTTAGCATTTAACTCGAGGCTATTGCTCCTACAAAAGCTTATTTAAACTTTCCTTGTATTTTTATTGAAATACCTACACCACTGACTTTAGTAACTAGGGATTCTAACAACTGCAAATGTTAAAGTTATGTATTCCCCAATTATATGTATCTGTAAGCTGTAATAAAGATGTCATTAAATAATTTAAGCAACAAGCTGAATTCTGGAAAATATGCAAAATCTTGTTTGTTCAGAGATCTCCATTATTTATGCTTTATCAATAACTAAGCAGCAAAAAAATGCCAATGAAAACTAAAGAACACACTTCTGTGTGAAAACACAGATTGCTGAATATCTATTTGCAACATAATAGTGAAACAAGTCCCACTCAGCAATAAATACTAGAAACCGTTGGAAGGCTGAATGATGGAACATTTAAGCATGCTATGTTGTAGATTTGCTTTTATCTCATTTGTAACTTTGAAAGAATTGTACAAAATAAATCCTGCCAGCAAATTTTTTATCCAGTTAAGTTGCTTTTCAGTAAGATGAAGCTTTCCAGGGTCCAGACTTCAATTTCTTCCTGTAATTTAAATATTTTTTCTTTATTTTTAATTATGTTATATTCAACACCAATTTAATAATTATTTTCTGGATTAGATTTTCTCCAGAATAATTCAGTGGAGGTCCTTGTAAGAACACACACTGCGGGGACTGAGAAACTGAATAAACTGCAGGAGTAAATACTGGAATTTTTCAAGCAAGCACCAAATACAAGTTTTTGTAGATGTATTTATTGCTTTTCTACCATGATCAGAAAGACAGATTAGCAGAGCTTGTGCTTAGTTGTGTAGTCATAGTTTTGCTAGACATTTGTGTGGTGACCCAAGCAACCCAGGGTTTCAACTGCATTTCTGGATGCAAATCAATCTGCTGCATCCAGAAGGTTGAGGTTACACACGTCCTCTGAGCAACATTCACAGGAGAGGATGGGAGCAGTGCTCTGCAAACATGGGTCCAGCAAGGTCTAGCACATCTGTGCTCAAGGCAATCACTTCCTTTGAAATGCAGTTTTTCTCCAAAATATTTTCTTGAAAGAGACATCTGAAGCATGTATTAAGAAGGAAGAATGAAACCTAAATAAGAAAAAAACCTTGAAATTCCCTATTGTCTTGCATACCACAAGTAATAGTTCAGCCTTACAGTCATACTACGTTTCGTATTTATGTCTCATTGTACAGCATGTTCCTGTGCATCTGTGTTCTTCTATCAGGTTTTTCCAATAGCTAAGCTGACACGTGTCATTTAATCAGACTTTGCAGTCCTATTCAGTAACGGATGAGAGACGAAAATCACAAAATACTTTTTTTATCTGTCCTGGAATTAAAAAAAAAAAAAACAACAAAAAACCCGACCCCAAATGCACACATATATACATTTACATATGTTATGTATGTGTAATTATGGAACCAGTCAGACCAAAGAAGACAAAGAGCAGCAATTCTGTACTTCAGCTAGGTTGTGGGACTGAAAATTACAAAATTCAGTGGCCAAATGTTTTTTGAGGAGGAGGAGAACATTGTGTGAAGAATGCACAATTCAAATTATAGGATGGGTATTTCGTGAGTACAACTTCTGGAAGCCTAAATGCAGATTTAAATGAGATTTTAAGAATTTATCAAAGCACTTTCTGGACTGTTGAAGAAGTAAGCTGACAGATGTAGCAAAAGCAAAGCAGTGTATACCAGTGCCCTTCAAAATTTGTAAATCTTTCTGAAATGGCTGTTTGTAATATTGATACTTTGGTGATTGTGGGTTTGTAGAAACCAGTAAAAGCCTAAATGAGAAATATTCAGGGCTTGAGAAGGCAGTTCCCAGAATGTCCAAATTCAGATGAGACAGGAAATAACAAAGGTCAACATGGTAGAAATATGATAGTTAAATGATAATTCAGGATCAGAAATCAATACCAGGTTTGAAAATATGATTTCTGTAGCATAATTGTCTCATCTTAAATGGAAACATACTGGATTTTTTTAAAAGTAGTTGAATATATTCAGCTTATTTATTTGTCAGTCATGTAAGGTCACCACTGCCAACTTAAAGACCTTGACAGTATTTTTATCTTAACTGAAAAATACTTAACCTGAGGAAGAACGAACAGTAAATTTGTCATTCATTCATCTAGATTAGGAAATGAGGGCTGAAAGTCATCACCTCTAAATGCTGAAATTACTTTCCATAAGATGCTCACAGAGCATCAGGGACATCAGAGGGCTCCACTGACACAGGTCTCAACGTATGAGGGTCACTGATGACTTCAGTTTGCTGAAATATTCAGTCATCTTCCACCACTGACTGGAATTAAGGGAAAGACTCTGACAGTGCAAAAGAAATTGAACTACTAGGCCAACCCCAAGAATACTGTATAAGCTAACTTAAAAACACAATAGTTTGATGATTGATTTGTCCATTCTATCAGTAAATGAATGAGGAATTAACTTCTATCTGATTTGAGAAAGCCCTGTAACATTTTTCAGGATGAGATACAATCAGTGCCTTCATTGATGTTTACCTCAGACTTGGTGAAATATCTGATCAAGGAATTGTGAAATAGTGGTGAAAAAAATGTGATTTATTTTGACAACGGTAAGTAACAGATGGAAAGGATGCTTTACAAAGAGGTAAATATTCACAGGAAGGCTAATGGATCTTGAAAGCAAGCGTCTAATTAAAATCAGTAAATCACTTCCTCTTTGTCAATAGGGGAAAAAAAAAGAGAAAGAAGGCCAGGTGGAAAGACTTTTCTGATGGTAGAGCTGCCACTGGGAGAAAGCCAAGTTGTAGTTATAAAACATTACATTTATTATTAGCTACTAGATGATAAATTTGTACTGATTTCCCCTAAAGAGAAAGTAAGTTAAAGAAAGCTAAGATGTGCTTATAAGATACAGATGTTGATTCAATACAACAGATAAAAGAGTTCTCCTTTAGTGAAGAGAGACTAGCTGGACAGCGTCCCTGAAGGTTGTACGTTTGGCATGTGAACAGTAAAAAATAAAAAAAATTTAAAAAATGGAGACACAATAACAACATAAGATAAATTTGAAACAGCTGAAGTAGGAATGAGATCATGCAGGACCTCTCAAGGATACTCTATTATTTTTTTTTCCCTTTTAATGACCTTAGTGGATTTTCCTGAAAAAAAACTGTTTGTCATAAGCTTTTAGTTAAGATTTTGTTTAAAGTGACTTTAGAAATATTGAAAGGATAAAAACTCTTTTGTTTTAAGGTCTGGCTTAAGCAACCAACATAGCTGCAATTCTTCCTTTAGTGATGATTTTCTCTACAGGTATTCTTTCACTTTCCTTTGAAGCTCCTGGTGTTAGCCATGGTCAGGGATCCAATGTAACTGCCCATTGAGCCAGTGATCCTGTTTTTTAACTGTTTGTAACAGCTTTCCACAAGCATCATATACTCCATTCTTCCATTTACACTACTGAAAACAAGCTGAATTCGTGAATGCCAGTGAGATTAATCTTGACTGATCAAAGAAATCAGAATCTGGGTTAGCATGTTGGATGTTAATACATTTATTAAATGGCATGTAGACTCAGAGTGGATAAAAGTTGCAGTCTCACAAGCATCTTTCTGAAAATCCAAATAACATAGCCAGACACTGATCTTCTGCACCAACAAGCTTCTTAGCTTGCCCTCACTGGTGTAACTTACAGCTCAGTGGAAACAGCTTAGCTCTAACGTGCGCCTCAAGAAATTATCAAAGACTTACATGACATGGGAGGGACCCAGGAAATGTTGATGCAATTTGGAGATGCAAATCAAAGCTACCATGTATGCGAGGGCTTAAAGTCTGGGCTCGTGCCCATTTCATAAATGATGCGCATGCAGAGTGAGTTAAAAAAGAAAATATATTTTCTTTCAGCAGATACAGGAAGCACATCCAGGTAAACAGTAATTATTCCTTTACTTGGCTGTTTGCTTAAGATCAGCTTGACTTTGTAAGTAGTAGTTGCCTATTTCTCCTTCGCAGAGACTAGGTCATTTTTACATCTGGCTAACCTGCTAGACTCTTGAATATATTCCTGTACATTAGTTAGATTATTATGGGAGAAAGAGAAGTTTATCCTGTGTAAATTGATCTGTTTTATTTCAGTGTATTGCAAGCAACTTCAGATCACCTTAAAAGCACAAAGTCTCAATCATAAGAAGGCATACTGACAGCCTCTTTAGCATTTTGACCTGCAAAATGGAGTACTGCACAGGAGACATAGGATAACCACAGTAAAAAAAAAGAAAAAAGAAAGAAAAAAAAAAAGGGAGTCTCGAAGAATGAGGCAGATGCACAGCTAGTTTTGAAAACTTATTGGTTTAGCTTTGAAATCAAAATTAGCAGCAAAAGGAAAAGGTTCTTTACTCAAGAGAATTCAATTTATCCATTGTTTTAACATTTTATGCCCTAAGCAAAAGCCACAGTCCTTTTTCTTCAGAGTAGATCTGGCAGATTCCAGCCACAGAGTCTGTGGTTTTCAAACTCAAGAAGCTGTAAATTTTATAACTCTGCGCCCTGCGGTCAGAGCTGCTGAGTGTTGTGTCTGAAGTCAGGTGGTTGGTGTGTTAAAGGTAGACATTAAACAGTATTGAGGAACTGGAAATGTTTAAGGAGGTTTTTTTGCCAGCTGTAAATTTGGGAGCAAATGCCAGTTGGCTGAAAAGATGCTGGAATGCATCCAGTTAAGTAGAACTAGCAGTGGAGGTCTTTCCAAATTTGTAGGTCTGATAACTTGGCTGTATGTGCAGACTTCAGTTATTGGGTTGTTAAAGGAAGGCTTTATAATGAATGTTTGAAAATACGATAGAAAACTTTTTATATGCTCAGTACTTTGACAAAATTGTAACCTTGCAATAGCACTGCATTCCTGATGAAAACTTGGTTGAACATTATGCATTGCATAACATTTTTCAACTGAGTGCCAGGGACTTTAAATTACATGGTTTTGTTCTGCACAATGTTTTGTCTCCAGTACTTTTCCAGAGTTTGATTTTTGCCCTTTTAATCTGTAGCTGGGATGATACAGGATATAAGAAACCTGAATGTGATGCAGTTCCTGCTTTGTGTACATATCCTCTTGTGGTTTCAAGGGTGGGAAGGGGCTCTAGTTTTGGCTGCTGGCTACGAGAGGAAGTTACAGTTTTCAGCTCCCTGTAAAAATTGTATCTACTTCCCAATGCAGAAGAAGGGAGTGTAGCCCAATGACTTAAAATGTGTACAGAGCAGCCTGCATGATGTACAGGAGCTACACAGAGGCTCTCACTCAGCTGGAGGCTGCAAGTTCCTGACATTACTGTGAGGTTGTTCTCTGAATGATAGATACTAACATCTCTTGTTCCAACATGCCAAGGATCATTTGCTCTCTTCCCATTTGTTGTCTTGAAGCACCAAGATAATACTGCTCCACAGCAGTAAAGCTGGTTGCCACATTTTTTTTCTTTTAATATCTTCTCATCCTCCCCCTTCTGTGTTCTGATTTATGTTATTTAGGATGCATTTGCTTTGTTTCTTACATCTGCTGTGGGGAAGTGGGGAACAGTTTTCGAAGACAAATATTCACAGCCTAACACTTCAAGATATCTGCAAGACATTTTAAGCTTTACTCTTATTTTGGCCACTTAAATACAACAACTTCATGGCAGTTGTTAGTTCAGGCAAGAGCTCGGCATTACTGTGATCTTGAGGTATGAAAAAAATGTCCTCCTCTTTGGACACGTGACTTACTAAAAGGACACACAGACTCTTTCTGCACTGTCCTTGTATATCCTGCAGGTGTTGGTCCAAAGAATCAGTTTAGGAATTGCTGTGATGAGTTTTAGTATAACAAAGAACTAGGCCTCTGGAAAATGATTTCATGGTGTGTATAAATACATTATATATATATCATGCTTATTTAATCTTCCTTCCAAATCACAGAATCCCTTTTTTTTTTTTTTTTTTTAACACCCCGCCAATTGTTTTTGTTTGTTTGTTTGTTTTTCTTAAAACCAAACTCCAACTCCCCATCTGTAGATCCTGCTACAAGGCAAAAATCCTGGGATTGCTTGGGAATACACATTTTCCAAAATGAACGAGAACAAGACATCTGTCAAAAAGCACAGCCACTCCTGGGTGACAGTGCAGTCAGAGTGCTCAGCTACCTGTGGTGGGGGTAGGTAACTTCTTAATATTTGCTGCTCTTCATTTTCATTTTTCTTTACACATTCATCTCCAACATTTCAGCTGCCTTTAATTTTGTAAGCATGTGTAACAATACATACCTTGATCACCTGGTCGCTTTTTGTAATCTGACAACTTACAGCACAGATCAAGTACCTTTCCTAGTTCCTCTGTGGTAGAAAGAAAAAATCATGATGGTCTCAATTCATGTCACTTACCATGGCAGTCTTTTTTTCTTCAGGTCAATCTGCGCACATATCTCGCTGTTGAAGTAACATGGGAATTAAATATGTGCTTTGATGTATCCTGGGAATACAGAAAGATAACAAATAATGAGTAAATTTTATCTACCTGTAGAGAGCAACTGAGGACTAAAATACTATAAAGAACTTTACTGACAGTTGCACACTGATCCCCTCACTGTTTAATTACAAATATTTGAGTTCATCAAACTTAAACTCTGAAATCCTACATAACCTAAGACTTCTTGTTACCATACTCCTCTGGGTATTCCTGGGTATTCTGCTTTCCTCAGAACCAGAATGTGTATTTATTCTTCTTAAATTCTGGATGTTCCACCAATGGAAGTAATTCTAGGATCTAATGAAAGCAGAAAAGTGGCACATAGGAAATTTTGCAGAAAAAAAAAACAAAAAGAGAACTAAAATTTGAGTGGCCTTTAAATTTTAAGTGGGTCATGTAAATAAGATTCTATGATGCAATTGCCCATAATATCAGAGAATTGGACTGGATGACCCAAGTAAATGCCATGTTATGTTCCTGAATTTGAAAAAAAATGTGAAATTCAGAAATATTTTGTTAGTTTGTTGTTAAGACTTCACAGCATGCCAGCAGACTGTTTAAGGAAGTTAGCATAAAAAACTGGTTGCCAAATGAAGTCCTGTTTTATTTAGTTCAAGTCAATGGATTTGTACCAAGGATGCCCCTGGACTGGATCAGATAAAATTCTTTCCTACTTATTTTTCTTTTGAATTTTGAGTAAACATTTATTTTATTACATTTTTTTTCTAATACTTCCATAGGACACATTACAGCAAAAGCAATTTGTTTGGAAGATCATCGTACACGAGTTAATTCCTCTTTTTGTGGTCCACGGATGAAGCCTTTAATTGAAACAAAACTATGCAATACTAATCCTTGCCCAGCACAGTAAGTTCTCTTTATTTTTCTGCCTTTCATTGTGCCTTATGACTGAGTTAGCCAGCAAGGAAGTTCTCTGAGATAGGCACATAGAATTGTACAGCCCGCTAGATGAACCCATTTTAATTCTATAATTTAAAACAGTAATTGTTTAAAAACGTTAGTTGTGTAGGCTTCTGCCCAATGATAATAATAGAGGCAGTATTTCTAATGTTGCTAAGCAAGACCTCCTGAGGATTGCTTGCAGCTCTGTCACCATGCTGGGGTTAGCTATGTGACACTGAGTAAATCTAAGTTACTTAGAAGCCCATTCTGCCACCTTTACTCACCTTGAATCAATAAGACCATTTCCTGAGTAAAGTGCTACTCCCCACGTGGAAGCTTGGCCTTCTGACTCAGATTCCACATATTAGATTAGGCTAAAAGAATCTTGTGAAGTGCAATTAGTGACTTTTGGGCAAAATACTTCATACAGTATTTTGATACCAGTAAGAGGACTATCTTAGCCAAATAAATTGTCAGCAATGCTCCTGCTCCCACAAAAATAAATATAAAGACATTTCTTATGTTAACAACCTTATTTTCTAAGACATAAGGAAGGTGAGATGCAAAGGAAGACAATGACATACAGATAAGCCTTTAGAATCCAGCTGGTATAAATCAACAGAGCTCCTTTAAAAACAAAGGAGTCACACTGATTTATAGTAGCTGTGGTAGGAGTCCTTTGGAAAAAAAAAATGTTGTGTGTTCATATAATTAAACACAGTATCATGTGGCTTAGAATTTAAATGGGGAGATTTAAGAGTACACTGACTGTCTGTCTTCTGCTGCTTTTTTCACGTTTGGACTCCTGACTTTTCAACTTTAACATTATATTAATTTTATATTAAAGATCAGAAAAAAACTTTTGACTTCCAGGACAGAAGATTTTCTACAGTGATATGGTGGAAAAAAATAACTGTTGCACAGGAAAATTGTTGAAAACACAGTTCCAGTGCACAAGCAGCAGACGGCAGAAGAAGTGAGGCGCATCAGTCCTCGTGTCATCTGCTGGTGCTTGTGCTGATGAATACAATAAGTGTAAAAGCAGTCAGTGAAGCCCACCAAATGTGTTATAAAAATAACACATTTAATGGTTTTCCCTATCTGCCCCAGTGCAGACAAGGATGATGGGGCAAGGCAAAAAGACAGATATGCTTTATGGTAGTGTTGTTTTTGCTTCAAAATCCCTAATTTGCAATATGTTAAACATTCTAAAAAATAGTCCGGTAATAGTTTGGAATTTCCTGCAAAATTTAAAGATTACAGCACAGAGCACAGAATCCAAATGGTAAATTATACATTACAACCACAAAAGGATAGAGATAAGATTTAAATAATGGCAGCATGTCACATCAGAGCCCCATGTTCCTGCTTCAGCAATTTCTTTAGATTGCTTTTAGCCACATGAATTTCTGAATACTAATTTTAAGTAATCTTTGTACAATCTGTTTGCATATGACTTATCTCCTGCCAGACTTATTTTTAACCAATGAACTTAGCATCATGTAGGCAGAAATGTAGTGTCTGTGATGCTCCCAGGAGTCTTTTTTCATCAGCTTATGCTCACCTTCATTTTCATGTAGCATTGTTATGCTATAAAACTTTAGCAAAATGATTTTCATCTCTATTTTCTCTCTCTGGACCATACCGAAAATTCTATTTCTGTTGAACTGATATCATGATATGTTTTGAAGATCCACTGGTATAAATATCACTGAAAATGCTGAATGTCCATTTTGAAATGCAGCACAACATGGTCATGCTAAAATTCCTCTGATATTTTTAGATTACCACAACACAATTAATAACTTGATCCCTAAAAAAGTACAGAAATAAGAACTGTAAAAGCCCTGAGCTTCCCAAAACTACATATGTGGGTAAAAAACAATTCAACTCACTAATTAATTATTTTTAAAACCACATGAGGCAACATTAAAAAAAAAATTAGTAAATATAATGGAGGAAACAATAGCGAATAAAGAAGAAACAAATATGGTGGGCATAGTAGGCAAGGAAAGCAAGTGACTAACAGATGAGATGTGTGTCTGTTTTGTGACTTGAAAGAGAAGACACCAGACTTGTAAAGGTCAGTGAGGAATAATTACTGCATAGGAACAAAGACTGAGGGAGAACAAAACTGCCATCCCAACAGTAAGAACATAGGCATCAGAACTACACACTGTTGTTGGATTTCAGAACTGGCAAATCTGCTCATAATTACTTATGTTATTTGAGCTAATGAAAGATACTCTTGGATCACAGCCCAGATAATTTTGGAAAACGGCAGTTTACTAGAGGACATTAAAGAAAGTTTATTGTCCTCTCCTCTATGAAGAAGGGAGCTTTCTGGGCAGTTAGTGCAAACAGACTTTTAAAATGATTGCTTTTGATTGCTCTGCCAGTCATGGTTGTCAAAAACATCAAGGGAAAGTAATTAAAAGTTGTAGAATGGATTAAAACTATTAACTTCTGTCCAGATGTTTATATTGCGAAGGTCCACATACTTCTAAATCAGACAAAAAGAAAATGCCTGATGTGTTCTGGAAATACATAACTACTGACTTTTCATATTAATATTTCTTTGTCCTTATAGCAGGCCCTTTTATATTTCTCAGTATTTTTGACAGTCACTGAAGTTACTAGGTTGAGTGTTGGGATCGCTTCTGTTCCCAAAGGAATTTTACCAGAGTAGGAGTTTATATATTTTTAAACGATTAAATATAGTTTTGATTTCAGGCAGATGTGATCAGAAAGGCAAATGGGATGCTGGTCATCTTTCACACAGTAAGAAAAGAAAAAAAAAAAAAACCTTTCCTGTCATTAAAATTGTATGTAAGCAGCTATTCTAGTCCTCACAGGGTGAATGCTGTAGGAAACCATAGAAGGCCAAGCAGCTGGATTTGAGACAAAAAAAGACAACCAAGCTTTTCTATGACATAAATTACTAAAAATCTGTAAAATACTTACGTTCAGTGCTGCATATTTCAATATGAGATTTCAAGTAATCTTTTAATCATTCATAATTTCCTCTGTTTTCTTCACTTATTTTCCCATCTAGTTGTTCCTTATGATCTTACATTGGAAACCTTTGAGGACAGACGCTTGGATGTGTGTCTGAAGAGTTACACAAGGGTTGGGGACCCACTCAGTGCTAGTAATAGCAATACTAAGCAGCTATTGACATTTCAAAAGTGAACTCAGCCTAAGCAATTGGCAGATTCTTCAGTCTTTGTGTAATTTTAGTGACAGTATTCATAACTGAAGCTTGCCTGCGACTGGAGTGTAGATTTGCCCAACAGCTTTTGCTGGTTAAATTCTTACTGTTTTATTTAGATCCCACATCTTCTGTCTGCCAAATTTGTTAGTCTGAGGAGATTTAAATCCTCCAAACGCTATTGACAGGACTGCTGATTTTAGCAAGCCTATTCTTTTTTGTAAATAGAGGCAAGCTAAGGTTTGACATTAATATCACTGAATACTACCATGTCAACATTTGTTGAGCTGTGACAAATGCACTGGGAGGTTCATGTTGGTTCCATTTTCCCTGCAATGCCAGCTTTCTCCTCGTATCTGCTTGAATGAACTTTCTTCCAGTTTGTGTTTTTTTTGAAGGAGAGGTAACAAGGAGAGCAATGTAACAGCAAAGGTCAGGACTGTCCAGTGAGCTAATCTCATCTACTGCCTATCCATCACACTTCTGTTTTGTTCTCTTCTCTGTTAGTCTATTTGGAGGTCTCTTCAGCAGCTGAAGTGACAAAAGTGATCATTCACTCATGTATTTGGGGAATATTTTTCTTTTCCATTTTCAGGGAGGGCTTTTTTTCAATTAAAATACTGACGTGGTTAAAAAGGAATGGTGATTTGTTAGATTTTCTAGATACTGCACCAGCCTCAATGGCAGTGCCTCTCTCTGTCCAAATGGAATTCCAGATTCCAGGTTAGATTAATAGGCAAGATAATTCTGGTAGACGTGTGAGTTGTAAATAATTAATACTAGTTTTTCTAGCTGTATTCTTATATTTCATCCCACTCAAAATGTTCTCTTCTTTGAAGAAAGATTAAGTAACTAAAGTTTTTCGATTGAAATCAGTACATCAGTAGAGTAGATTAAGCAGAATCCCTGAATAATTCACATTTCATAGGTGACTCACGTGTGTTGATTTTATAAAATTAATTGGCATCTGTGTTTCTAATACACATTTTCTCCATTAAGCTGGTCAGCAGGTGAATGGAGTGCATGCAGCAAATCTTGTGGAGGAGGGCAACAAAGTCGTCTCATCCAGTGTGTCCAGAAAAAGGCTTTCCAAAGGGAGGAGGTAGTTGCCCATTCCCTGTGTCCTGTTAGCACCCCTACACAAGTGCAGATATGCAATAGTCAAGAATGCCCACCTGAATGGAGCCCTGGACAATGGTCTCAGGTAATCTGCAGAAAAACTTGTGTTTCCTATTGCTGACATAATGAAAATTATGCCAAAAATTCTATGCAGAAAGAAACAGTGCAAACTGTGAAAACCAATATTGTACAAATAGTTCTATTTGAAATGATAACTTGTAAGCTATATTTTAATGAGCCTTTGTAAGTGGTCAGAAAGGAGGGCTTCCAGAAGGGGACATGTGGTGTCCTTTCTGCTGCATACAAGCAGATGGAAGATTTTTTTCTGGTTTTGTAACTTAATGCTCAGTGAATTCTTCAAAGCCATTAACTCCTGTCTGAGGTAAGTTCCTACAGCAGTATTAGCTTTTCTTAGAGATGACTGGCAGCCAAGGAATGAAGAAATATTTGGACTTATTAATGCACACACATTTTTTAATTGTGAATTGATAAAGCTGTGATTTACACATACAATAATTGTTTCTCTACTTTTGCCTTTCTTAGAGTAACTCTAAGTAGAACACTGCAGCAGTTAATCTCCCTGAGGAACATAAGGCCCCTAGGCAGATTCCTGTGTGTACACACCCTGCTTCACAAACCTGTGAAAAGCTTGACATTAAACCAGTCTGAGTTAAAAAGCACACACATGCTTACACAAAAGTCATTTCTGCTCTGTCTGTGACTATTGTTGCTGCTGGCACGAGCTGTGAACGTGAAGATAAATCAAGTATTGGGAAATCTGTAGATGTAAGAGACAGATGACAGTAAACCTATATAAGAAAGAATTATTTTGATTTTTTCATATTCATTTAGTGAAACCCAAGGTGGATTTAAATTTACTGAAAATTCTATTACTCTTCTTGGTACTTTTATTCCTTAGGTGCAACTAAGCTTAGCTTAGTAGCAACGCTACTATGGCAAAAGACTGTGAAAAACAGATATGACAATTAGATATTTAAAAGGGAAGAACAAAATCTTCAGACACATTCACATTTTCAAACTTTACCAAAAATTTTAAAATAATCAATTATCCCCTTCTTTAGGAGCTGTATGATTCAAGTTGGGTTTTTTAAATTAACCTATAAAAATTAAGTTCACAAGTCCTTATCAGACTTATTCAACAAGTTAGCAAAGATTTTAAGTCAGCTGAAAGCTGCTATATCACAGGCTCAAAAGAGTTAAAAGAAAAAAATGCAAACTACCCAGTCTCTCTTCACAAATCAGAGAATCATTTTAAATGAAAGGCTTTTCCATCTGTTTGGGGATAAGATTACAACTAGAGATTTTCAGCAAACAGGTATTTCTGTTCTATGTCAGTGCACTCTGCTTTCATGAAATCTTTAGAAAACATTTATGATTTAATTTGTACACTGATAATGTGGTATTCTGCGTTGGAATGTGCCTGTTAATTATTGTAAGAACACTTAGAAGAGAATGCAACAAGATAGAGAGTCCACATAATTATTTCAGGGCTATTTCCTCATTTCATCAGAAATGGCTCATTAGTGCATTTTGTTGGCTGCTGAGGCAATGAAAGCTATGGAATGTCTTTTCAACTGAACCACAGTTCAAGCAATACATATTTATTCACTAGTGACTTGTCCTAAGCTTCGTTGTAATCTTGGCAATTAACTTCGGTCAAGCATCTTAACCATTTTCTATGTCAGATTCTGTCTTTTTGTGAGATTCTTGTGAAGAAGTTATGTATAGATTCCCTAGGTAGTTTTCTCTGTCTCTTTCTTGTCCCTCTGGGCCAACATGAGGACAAGATAACAAATAGCTGAGAACATCTTGCTGTGGGAGATTTTCAGATGGGAGGTTAGAAGTAGCTTTCAATTGTGCTGTCTAGAGAAAAAACAATTTTGCTCACAAATCCAACTTTCCTCATCAACGGAAAAAAAGATGTTACTTGTCCTACATGGGGGCTGTTAAGAGTTCATAATTTACAAAAAGAGAGCACTCAGAAAAACACTGTAAGACTGACACGTAGATATTACTGTTATGGAATTTCAAGCTTACTTGCATTATAATAGCAGCTACAGAGCACATTAACAATGGTTCCTGTGCTCTGCTGTAAAATACAAATAATGTCAATGTCCATTTCTTCTAGCTCAAATTAACATTTCTTTCCATCACAGTGCTCCAAGACTTGTGGGAGAGGTGTTAAGAAGCGGGATGTCTACTGCACAAGTACTACTTCTCCCAAGCTTAAAATCTTGCCTGAAAGTATGTGCAGCCAAGACCATAAACCTGAATCCCAGCAGACCTGTGTGCTAGGACGCTGCCCCAAAAATGACCGGCTCCAGTGGGTGATTGCTTCCTGGAGTGAGGTAAAGTAAAGTAGGGCTCACTGTCTTCCTTTTGGCATTTTGACAATGTTGACTTGGGGACACATACACAAACAGCATAGGAAAAAAAGAAAAGCTAAGCTGACATTTGAAAATCAGGTGCTGTGGGCAAGCCGCTATAAAAACACAGTTCTTTACATTCAGATGTAGTTAGATGTACTCTGATGTCTTTGCTTTTTTGGACTTCCGGTGACTTAGCTTCATATTTCTGTTTACACATGTGGACTTTGGGGTCTTTGGGGTTTTATAGTGCTTTTGTAGTTTCATGTAATTTAGGTTATCTTGAGTGTAGCCCAGTCTCCTCTGAATGTGTTTCTATAGATTTAAAAGGTGTGCTTTGCTTTTGCAGTGCTCAGCCTCCTGTGGCCCAGGTGTACGCAAGCGAGAACTAAAATGTGGTGAGAAAAGCATCCATGGGAAATTAATTACCTTTCCTCAGAGAAGATGTAGAAACATCAAGAAACCAAACATAGACCTGGAAGAAGCTTGTAACAATGGACCTTGTCCATCCCAAACTTTGTATAACATGGTGTCTGGCTGGTATTCCTCACCCTGGCAGAAGGTAGGAATGGGAAGCTTTCTCGTCCCTCCTTTCCCATCTATGTATTTTGGTTCAGTTAACTTCTTTGTCATAAGATTCAAGAAGGTTGCCCTAAAATGTTATTTGTGCTTCAGAGCCACTTGATTCCACTATTGTTTCCCAACACTTCCTTTTCAGTGTTCTAACTGCACTGTGATTGAACTATTACATAGCAATATGCACAATGTATTTCAGGATCTGCACAGATTTCCTGGAATTCCCTAAATACTATGATTAATTTGAGGATCAGTCTGTATTTGTTTCTACATTCTTGCAAATAAGCTTCTGTATTTCTGGAACTTATCTACTTTATGAGTCACATATCAATGAGCCACACACTCATTTAATAACATTTATATGAAGCAATGTATGCCTGACAATTGTAATCAGATGAAAATGATCATATTTATCTTAAAGACAACTTTTCACGAAACACATACAAGTAAAAGGCTTATTCACTCTAAAATACTTCATAGATCTTCCTGCAAATGCATAGTGTTTTTCCCCAGACACTGCCATAATTATGTTTCCAGGGGGAGCTTTATCTTTGCTCCGACAGCAGGATTGGGCCCAGAGGCTTAGAGTTCAAAAGAAGTCAGTGCAGCCAATCAGGAATGGGTTTTCTGTAATATTCAGTTTGTCTACATGCCTAAGTAAGGAACCAAATTTTCAGTTGAGTCCTTAAATAACCATACTTTCGAAAGGACTCAAGAATGCAGAACAGATGCACACACCTTTGAAAATCTGGTCCTGATAGGAATCGCCAAGCATCAACACATCTGATCCTGACCTCTCTCTGAAAGTCTCATCTAAAGCACTTCAGAATGTTTTCCTTTGGCTTTCATGGGCTCCGATAGATTCTCTATAATTAATTTTGTTGTTGTTGTCTACAGTGTACAGTAACATGTGGTGGGGGAGTGCAAACCCGGAGCGTGCAGTGCCTACGCCAAGGGAGACCAGCCTCTGGGTGCCTGCCCCATCAGAAACCAGCAATCCTGAGAGCCTGCAATACTAACTTTTGCCCAGCCCCTTCAAAAAGAGGTAAAACTCATCTCTACGTTCTGCAGCAGCTTATACTGATGTACATAGATATACTCTATGTCCAGCAAAAATTACCTTTTCGTTACACCCACTTAAAATTTAAATTTGACACCCTCCTCCACAAATTTTCCCGTATTTTCAGCTTTCCAGTTACTTTCAACACTATAGTATCTCTCTTCCCAGAGTTAACTCCCTTAAAGCAGACTTGAGTATAACTGAGATTTTAAGAATAGAGATATGTTTTATATATATATATATATAAATAAAAGTTAGCACAGTGTGGTTCTGAGCTGCAGCTTCAATTTATGCTTTTGTGAATGTCCTATGCTGGAACTCTTTTATGATTAAAAATAGTGGCTTTAGAATTAAACAGTAAGAATTTGCAATTTATTTTTAGTGTTTTAAATTCCACCCACGCTTCAGATTGCAACAACCTCCAGGGTGTTCAAAAATGCTTTTGCTAGACTGTAGTTTTGCTTCTTCTCCTGATCAGTACGGCCCAATAGGTCAGGGAAAATGAAATTCAGCTTTCTTCTAACTTGTATGCCTGCTATATCCCTCTTTCTATCTTCAATGTGTTTTGAGTTCTGGAGTAGCAAGAATCTTTGTGTCAGTGATGGAATGAGAATTCTCTCAGAATCATCAAAGAAAGAGAGAGATGCATTTATCCCATCCAGAGTATTTGCTCAAAAGCTGGCTATTGCTTGTGACGCCTTAAGTGATGGAAAAAAAAATTAATGGAGGTCCAGGTTTGTCCAGTGTAATAACAGTTACCTAGACATGTTAAAGCACTTCAAATGTTAATTTTCAATATATAATAATTTTCATATATTTCATATACTGTACATTAAGTGTCTTGTTACCATTTTAAAACAAGATGCTGAAAGTAACATCTGTAAAACGTCTGGATTGCAAGAGAAATGAAGTAGAGTTGGAAGCAACGGTCAACCTCTGGCCCTGCACCTTGTAATTTGACATTAGACAACAACCCCTCATCTATACTGATTCCTGATATTCAGTGCAGAACACCCTGAAGTGGTGTCTGAAGAGTTAGACCCACTGTAGTAACTCAAGACACGCAGAGTATCAGACCTGAATCCAAACTAAGATATACTGATAAAATATACCTAAAGCAGATACATGAGCAGTTTTCCCATTTTTCTAATTAAATATTCTTAGCAATTCAAATGCTAATTAACATTCCTAAGAAGTTCTGCTGTACTTCAGAATTTCTGTATTACATTCTATTCTGTCATGATACAGCAAGCACTCTTCTTTCACCCCAGTCTCCCTCTGCTATATTTCATGTCTGAAGTAATGTCTGTTACTAATTTTGGCTTTGGCCTGTTTCTTTCTTGCCTCACATCTGCAAGAACTCTTTCACCTTTATTATAACTGGGTCGTCAGGCTCTAGAGATCAATTATCTCCTCACTGCTCTCTAACTTTCTGTCTAAACCAGCAAAAAGAGAAGGAACCAGCTGTGCTGGAATCACATCGAAGCAAATCAGTCTCCATTATCAGCCATGCAGCTCCAGCTCAGTGATCACAGTCAAGAAATTAATGTTTCAGGGAGAGTTTACACACTTTCCTAGACAAGCTGGGTCACTTCCATCTGTTAGATGCAGTTACGGTCACCATAACTCCTAACAAATCCAACTGCTTGAAATGAATCAAAATTAAAACAACATGTAAATACTTGAGTAAATAGAAATAAGGAGCTGACAGCCTGGTCTGCATCCACTGAAGTTAGTGGGAGTCTTTGTGTTTATTCCAATAGTCTTTGGATTAGGTCCCAAGAATAAAGTTTTTGGCCACACCTCTGTAATGTTAGCATTGTGCTCTGGTCTTCAAAAGGGGATAAAGATTTATTAACATTAGCTCCTCACTGCATATAAAGTTAGAACAACAACAACAACAAACCACAACAAAAACAGTCATCTGTAATTTTTGAAAATCTACCCTTGCATGCTGGGTGATCGTCCCAACTCAGAACAGCTTTCCTTACCTGGAGCTGTGCAGCTTTTCATCTGTTGACTGCTTTGGAAAGTGGCACTGTCTGTTCCCCAGTGCCAAGTTCTGTGTGGTGGGCAGTAGTTGAAGCAAAGTGAAAGCTGGTGCTAAACTACCAGATCCATCCCTCCTGACACTCAATTAAGGCATATGCAGTATGACACTGAGCTTCCTAGTTCCTATAAAACACCTTATTCAAGGACAGTCTTTTCTTTACTTAGGATTAGCATTTACAGATGGGATTATGTTTTTAAAAGCTGAGCAGTATTTTTCATTTTTCTATTCATTCAAATAAATCTGAGGATGATAAAGGTACAAAAGTATCACTATTACCATCATAAAAAAGAAAGTTAAAAAAGTGAAGTAGTGAACTAATCAAAAGAAATTCATACACAGAGATCAAGATAATTCCCAAAACCACATGATTGATCTGAGAGTGCAGACAACATTGGCTAGATTTTCTTCAGTGCCTCCTTTTGAAGTCCCTTTATAGATCATGTAAACAAATTCTGTTCTCTGTTCATAGGAGATTTCAGTTTAGCTACAAATTTTGCTCAATCTCACTGAAATGTGTTGCTGCTCTCACAGACATTGTCGATTTGTTTACAAAGCATCCATATGAATCACCACTCTGCTCTTCTAAAGAAAACTAAAGAATCCACTCTAGTAAGGAGTAACTATGAAATGCTTTTAAAGCTACTGGGCCATGTGCATAAATGAGCTGCACATAAGTTGGTGAAATGAAATCATAATGATACATTTTTTCTAACTTATTTTTGTAATTAGAAGCTGGGCTTTTCAGAACCATTGTCATCTTGTCTCTGTTCCCACTAGTTAAGTTTTCACCACTATGGCATAGTCAAAGTCCTGAAAGCCTGATCCGTGGCACCTAACTGAAGTGTTTAAGTTAGAAGTGCGATTCCTTACATTCCCTGAAAAGCTAAATGCAGAAAATTAACTTCGCAAGGTGCTGGTGGAACTACTGTCTGATTTGTAGAAATGCTAAAACGTTGCTTGGATTTCTCTCTCTCAGATGATCCTTCTTGCGTGGATTTCTTCAGCTGGTGTCATCTGGTACCCCAGCACGGTGTCTGTAACCACAAATTCTATGGCAAGCAATGTTGTAAATCATGCACAAAGAAGAACTGATAGCAGCATGTTATCCGAACCCTTCACTGGCAAAATTTTCTTCTTCAATTTATGTTGAAATTAACTTTGCTTTGAGCCAAGACATGGTGCCATGTAAACCACTGATGGAAGAGACATTTTTTTTAAGGGAATGTCTGAGGTACAGTAATTGTTGGATATATGTTGAAAAATGAATGTTTTTTTTTTTTTTTATTTGCTGACCTCACTAAAGTACAGGGTACTATGGATCACTTGAACACTCAGACTCAAGGGGCAGTTCTTTCCTTACAAGTGTCACTTTGCACTGTCACGTTATGAGGAAGAAAATCAGGCAAGGATGCCTTTTGTGGCTAATTTAGCAGAATGCAAAGCAAACGAGATTGGGATCTCAAGGAATAAGGTTACAGCATGGCAGCATGACAGATCACAGAATCAGAAGTGTCTCCTTTTTTTATCTTTTATGATAATATCGTCCCAGGGCAAGGAAGCTGTTTACTGCCATTTTCACAGAAAGACTTTCAAATGACTGTTTGGAGAACCCAGTGTCACACGTGTGACCACGAGAAGTAAATAGTGCACTACAAAGATATATGGTGCTTCTCTATTGTACTTGCTGCTGGAAAAGCAAGTTTTGCATCATGCTTATGTTTTTGTTCTGAAGAATTCATTTTCTGCTTTGTCTAGAAACTCAGAGGTGGTTAACTAGTAACTTGAAATGTATTCCTAGAAATATTCAGTGTTAGAATATTTGGACTTTTAACATTGCTGTGTTACAAGTAAAATAGAATTTCATATTTCAACTAACTCAAGGAACTCAGATTTATTGAGCTCAATGTTATGTTTTCAACTTTCTAAGCTCATAAGATATGTAAATTTAAAATTTAAGCTTGATATATTAAAGTAGATTTTTTTCAGAAGCTAGGTTGTTTAAATGCCAAGATACTGAAGAATGTCTTCCTTTTAATCTCAAATCTCTGCAAATTTTGTTTCATCAGTTGCCCAAATGAAAAAACAGAAATATTATAGTCCATTAATTCATGCCAAACTTCTCTAAATAGTTATATTTTCATACAGGTGACAAGAAAAAATTGCAAATACTAAGCAGACTATTTTCTCTGACCAAATAAAAATCATTTCTATTTTTATACACTCTCTTAATACTTACATTTAATTCAGAATCCACCGGCAAACAAAACAAATGTAAACAATATTTGTCATCATTCCATACCAAGATGTTATGTGACACTGTACATCAAATGGTACAGCTTCTCTTGAAAAAAATTCAACCCAACATATTTGCCAAACCCGTTCTGAGACAGAGCTGTGTTCTACTGTAATTTTCTGGGGAGTGGCTATAAGGGACATATTTATCTAATTCCACCCAATCCCACAACTTCTTTTGATGAATGTAGCTGCATTTTACTGTTTTTTTTAAAGTATCAATTCAGCATAAGATTAGCCAGCTCAGCACTAATGCCAGACAGTGGTCACTTAAAATTATCAGTTCCTTTTGCAACAATTTAAATTAAAAACATGTATTCTATGATACTGTAAGAAATGATGATTGGAAACATATCTCAATCTACACTGCTCTGTCTTGATATTCGACATTGTATAATTATGAATTCTTTTCTAGGAAAACAACAAGGTTTTTTTCTGTTTTGTTTTTATAATTGTGTCCTTTTTGTTATTTGATGTAAAGAATTAATTTATTAATGCATAGCTTTTCCTTTATATTTCTTTGCTCACTTCCTTAAGTGAAAACTGAGAAAAGAAAATGGCAGTGTCACAAAATATGACTTATGATATAAAAAAAAAAAACAAAAAAAAAAAGCAAAAAATATAAGTGTATTATTTAATTATTTTATAAGCTTTGTAATAAAGTACTTTAACTGTTTCATTATATTTGGAATTGTAAAATTCATGAATAAAATATGGAGGTTATAAATAAATATCAAGTAATATAAGTGGTGTATGCATTTGTTTGTGTTTATGCTGATCATGCCTTAATACCGTTAAAACATTTTCTTCTATTCTTCTACCACATAATTGCCTAATGCTGGTGACTCTGAACTCACTCCAGTTCTGAGGAGGCACAGCAACTAAAGCAGCCCCCAGAAGAGTGGGCTCCTTGGGGTAGTGGAAATTTAGTTACGTATGAATTCTCTGCCTAACCCTGCCCTTGCCATTCAGGTTTTGTATGGGTTAATATTGGTAAGGAGCTCTCGAAACAGTGCATTTGAGTGTTAACAAGCCACTATGATGAATGGTGGGGAGGTCATTCCTTTCAGGGACTCAAAGTCAGGCGTATGTTCCAAGGTCATGTGAAACTTGTCTACTTTTGAAGTTTCCTTTATACTGGTAAGTGTGGAATGTATGACTGACTATTCAACAAAGTGAGTATATTGTAGCTGCCTTTCGAGAGTAGATGGTAGTTCTCATTTGAATGGCTACCTTGAAACAGTTGTTCTGGGCTCTGCCCCTTTCTGGCACAAGAAGGTAAAATGGACATAACTTCTTAGTTTTTTATCCATAATAACACAAGCTAAAATGCACAAAAATACAGATGCATCCCTATATGCAACACAGAACAGATCCATCCATTCACCCTTCACCTGCTAAAGACAGCAGAAACACGTACATCGAGCACGTATGTCACAGAACCAGCATCTCTCCTACCTGCCTGTGGAACTAACAAGTTTCCAAGTCATTACCCAGTATGGACTAACAGGGACAACATCTACTCACTGAAATATTTTACATATACTCTCTAACATTTACTTGCCACTTGTCCATTCACTCATTAGCACTCAGGCCTTTTATAACAGCGAGCTATATGGAGTGTTGTTGTTAGAAAATACCAACCTTACTTCTGATTCACAGTGTAATCTAGTAGGTGCTAACAAATGATAGCTCAGTCTGCTCCTGACAGATCCCCAGCAAGTGCTCTTTTGAACGTGACTTGGACTAGTGATTTAAATAATTATTAAGCACATAGAAGAATTCAGACTCTAACTGCTTCGTGTTCTAGTCTAGAATTTTGGAATTAAAATGAATTGACGCTTGTCAGTGAATTACAGAGCTGTAGATGGATGTTGAAAGAGGAAATATTGCTTAAAGATGTGCTATTGTGTGGTTGGATCAACCCCAAGTCCACAACTGCTTTATTGCTAAGCCCTCACAACGGTATTTGGTATACAAAGCTTGGCAGTTTTTTAGAAGTATATTGCTGCAAGGCTCACTTTATGAAGCAGAATGGGGTCTTTTCACAAAGGAATAGCTCTCTTTCCTGTACTCAGATTTCATCACTCAGGTAAAGGATGCATCTGCCTAAAATTCAAACAGATATTTAATGAATGGCTTGATTGTGTAAATCAAACTCAACTACCTTGGATGCCCAGAAGACATGAAATGTTGGAAAGAGCTGAATATTTTGCTGCTCGTGGTTTTATAGTAACACAATCCACAAACCCTATTTCCTTTACTTTTCAGCAAATTCTATTCAAATGCATCAATAAAATAAATTACCATTATTATTTCTATTGTAATGGAAGCCCAACCCTTCTGAGTCACTGAAGCCCCATTGTGTACAACGTTCTAAGTACGTCATGAAAGGCTTGCTGCCCCAGAATACAACAGGAAACAATGGGGAAAGAATGTGCTAACAGTAAGCTCATTGTGATCAGAAATATTACTCATGGGTCACTGTCTGCCTGGACATTGCAGATGAGATCTGAAAGCAAAATGTTGATGAACTATCTTGATTGCACTTTGAAAGCAAATACTGAGCATTGCTAAGTCTGAGAGGAAAGCAGAGCTAGTAGGAAACTGTTAATAATAATAGCAGTCCTGACCAAGAAAGTGACTATCATGAGAGGAAAGCAATATTTATGAATCATTCAACTTGTTAGCCTGGCAGTTATCAAGGACTGCAGAGATATGAGTTTTTGGCAAGGACGTAAGTCATCTTGCCATCAGAAAGAGTTCTGAAACAAGAAGATACAGCTGCTAAAGAAAATACCCTAAATTTTTCCTTATATAAACATAAGCCAAATCAAACTGACCTTCCTGTCTACTTCCTGCACATCATGCACCATTAGCACAGCTATTCTTCTCTTCTAAATGAATTCAGGACTTGGTTTGGCTGAAATGTGCCCTTTGATGTATATATTTCTGGAGTTCTTTATCTTGCAACTTACAAGTAGCACTTGCTTCCCATGAGAACATGCAGCGATAATGGGGCTGTATTGACTGGCTTGTACTGCGGACGGCACAAATACTGGTTGCTACCTGCAGCATTGCCCATGGCAAGTCATTGTCTCTGCCCTGGACAGAGGTAAGTAGGAAGTGGGTTTTTTGGCCAGTGATCTAACAGTCAGCACATTGCGTAGGGTTAAAGGAAGTAGCTGCTGACTCATTTTCAACTGTCTGAATGTCCCAGGTGAATAGAACTAATGGTGAAACCTGAGTTTCTGACCTCAAAATTGAATGACATATCTAAGCAATTTTCCTTGTGCTCTCTGGAAAAAAAAAAAAAAAAAATCTAAGAGCCGTACTTCAAACTAATAAATATTTTATGCAGTTTCTATTCAATAATAAGTATTCAATGGTGAACAGTATCTGATTTAATTTCTCAACTCTGCCAACGGAGGCATGAACCTTTAGCTAAACCCTCACTTTTGGACTTACTTTCCAAGCATTAAATCAAGCCATTCTCACCATATATTTCAGTCTTCTTAAATGCTGATTACTCACAGCGACTTAAGACAGACCCTAACATCCTTTAGGCGAGTTGGCCTGCTAAGCATTAGTTTATTATGTTCTGTTGTGATAATGTTCAATAATCCTTTTGTAACAACACAGGAGAACTGACACAAAAGCTCATTCAAAAATCATATTAAAAGGTTTACCATATGAATATTTACTTAGGAAATTCTTACCTATGGTAAGTAAACGGGTTTCATAGAAAAGCATACATAAGGATTCCATTCCTTATATCTGTGTATGTAATATCTGCATCAGATTTGCCTAAAGGCTTCTCCCCAAAGCAGGAATCCCCTGCTTGCACTCCTGTGCTTCCACGGAAATACTGGCCCTCTCACAGCTCTATTTAGATTGCAGCTGAAGATATTCAGGACATCTGCAGGATTCAAGAGCTGTTCTTGTACGGAATACTTAATCCTATCTATAATGCTCTTTCTGACCAACTTTCATAGTGCTTGTGGGATGGTGATGTATGGCAACCATTGGGACTCCTTACCTCGGGCACTGCAGAAAACTGTAGTGGCAGCCAGGATTCCTGCAGGGCTCACGCAGAAGCAGCATTTTAGCACAGAAACAGATAGATTTTCCTTCCATAAAGAAAGATAAGAGGAACTTCCATTTTGATGTTTTCCCTGGATACAGCTATGACCCATTTTGCAGGAAAAGCCATTCTGATGCAATGTGTCCTCAGAGCACTGGAACTCACATGTCCACATTGTATATGCAGCATACCTGTTGAACAAGTAAGAAGGAATTGAAGTCTTCTCCCCACACCAATGATTTCTCTATACTTCTAAACAAAACGTTGACAGATGAAAAAAAAAA